GGGCCTCCTGCCTCCCGATTCGGGCATGAGGGTGGTCATCTCCCGCTCGCCGTCGTTGGCTCTTGCTTTTGCATCCAAACAACAACACTGCACAAGACACTGGGACCGATGACTGAAAGCACCGATTTGGCTACCTCGACTGCTCATCAGAGACAACTCGACAATTCCAGTTAGCAGTCTGACGTGTTGTTCGTTCCTTTTCACGGCCAATCAACCCTCTGAGAAGCTCATCCCTCGTTGGAACCCTGCCTCGATCATGCCTCGATCATGCTGTTCTAGACCACCGGTAGGCATGCTGGGTCCTGCTGCCTCTGCCCGGTTCGCTTGCTTTTGTCTCCCAGCCGCCTGTTGAACCATTATTTCGCGCGCGACATTTTACCCTCATCTCACTGACTATAGCCATCCTTGGAAATATGCTGCAGCGCGGCACATATCTCGCTCACTGCATTGGGCTGCTGCGTTGCGTCGTATCGGCCGTTGCAGTCACCGCCTGGCCGATGCGACCAAAACACTCCGCGAGAGTCCGGTTGGTCGCCCGTTGGTGCCGATAATAAGGTTGTTTCTCTTTGTTCATGCCGCCTTACCCAGCCAGCCAGCCGCCGTGCCGCCGCCAACTGGACTCAAGCCAAGGAGCAGATTCCAACTTCAACAAGGCATCTGCCGGGACGATATCGACCTTCCCAGTCATCTCCGATTGCTTTTGAGCGGAGCGGGACCCGGGTAGGAAACAAATGACGACGTCAACAAACCCGCAGGCCGGGAATCACAGCTGTCAAGCACAAACTCCCAAGCTTCCAAGGTTCCAAGCTTCGACTGCCCTGGGCAACACAGCCCTTCCCCTTCCGCCCCCCGTCCCCGTGTCTCCATGTGCGGTGCATCGCAGGCAAGTGGAGAGAGAGTCGTCAAAGTATTTTCTCATACTGATCTGGGCGGCCAGGTACAAGACCGCGAATATTGGCTTTTGCTGCTGAGTGGCTTGACGCCAAATCTCCTCCTTTCCCCCCTCCCGGCGCCCTTCCTCAAGCGGCTAGCGGCTGGCGTGCTGCTGCCCTACCCCTGTCCCCCTGCTCCAAGCCCCCTGTCCCTGCCAGGGGTGCCGGTTCTTTCGCGGACCTGGACCATGGACCACCGGCCACGAACCAGTCCAAGTTCAGGGCAGCGCACTTTGGCCACATCCACATCAGTTCGTCTGCTGGCCCGGTGCGTGTGCAGGTCCCAGGTGAGGGTGCAGAGGGTCTGGGTCTGTCTGTCCAGGTCCGGGTTTTTGTCTTGCGCTGCGTTGCGTTGCGCTGTGCTGCGTTCTGCTGCGCGATAGCGGAATCATTGACAAGTTTTGCCCCCAAACCCCCCGTTCCCTTTCTGCTCTGATTCCTGGATGAAAATACGACGCAGCCCACCACGGGTGCCGTCCATGCTTCGTCCATACTCCACTGCAGAAGCCAGCGCCCGGCCCTTTGCTCTCTACACCCAACGCAGGTTCGTCTATCCGTACCGTTCCTTGAGTAAGGTACGGAGACATACCGCACTGCAGTAGCAGCAGCGGCAACCGTCAAAGGCTTCGTTCCCCTGGACCCCTGTTCCCCTGGTGCCATCCCATCCCAGGAACCGAGCAAGCCAGGGCCAACCGTGCCTCCCACCACGCGAGCGAGCCAAGCCAAGCCAATATTGCTCGCTCTCCCCCCATCCCATCCCATCTATTCCATAGTGTCCCGTCCCGTCCACCCATCCACTCGTTGCTTCTCCTTCTTAATCACCTCCTCTCCCCCAGCCAGAGCCAGGGATCGTCGTCGCCCTTTCAGAGCCTCACCTGCTTCCTGTCGCCAACCGTCCAAGCCGACTGAGTTGCTCGCCTCGACACGTCAATACGCCTGTCAGTCGACGACCTCGAGACCGCACGCACTTCATCTGACTCCTGTCTTCTTCGCTCCGCCGAGATAGGTCAACCAGCGCGTCGACAACCGGGAAAGCTTCGAGCATTTGGATATCGCTCGAGCAACTTTTAATCACTCCGAATAATCTCAAATCGACCGCTTGCGAAGGATTCGCCGACTTGAGGGTTTACGCCGGAGGCTACCGAACCGATTCGCTATTAATCCTTCGACTGCATCGCTCTCAGCTCGCATTCGACTCCTTCATTGGTGTTGTTGGAAACTCATCTGGCGGATCACTCGTTTACCCGCCTACATCCGAACTCACCGGCTCTCGACAAGCACCGGATAGGCCACCTGCACAAGTCCTCCACCTTGGTGCACGCAGTGGAGTGGTGCTCTTGTTTTTCCTTGGTGCCATAATATATCCACCATCGCGTGCGTGATCTGGTCGATCACCGGCTAGAGACAATCGACGCCGATCACAACGTGGGGTTCTCCAGGGAAACCAACAAAACTATCTGCCCAGCCAACATCGATCGAGAGGCACCTCTTCTCGAATCTTGTCACCACAGTCCGGCAAAAGGATTATGTTCCGCACCTCCAACCTGCGTCCCGCAGCTTCCTCATGATGGCCTCACCTCTCATCATGTCTTCATTCGCTACACACTCAACCTCCCCCCGCAGGCCACGGTCACTATGGCTTTTCCTTTTCCTCACCGTCGCCTCCATGGTCTCGGCCACCTCCGAATCTCTTTCTGAACTCCCCGCTCAGATTACCGCCCCCGCAGTCGTCGCCCCTATGGACGCTCTCGTCGTCGACGACCGCACCCCGACCATGATCAAGGGCCGCTGGACCATGATGCCTTACGAGGAGCTCAAGAAGCGTGACGACGAGAGCGCAACGGCGACTGCGACCCAGACGGTCAAGGCAACGGACGACCCGACCACCTTGACTCTCTCTGTTACCGTTCCTGCTGCGACCGTCGAGGCTGCTTCGCCTCTGCCCTCTCCCTTCGACACCAGCTTGGCCTTCAACTTCACCAGCAACGACGGCGCCTCTTGCCCCCGCTTCATCAACGAAGTCCTCACGAACTCCAACTTTAAGAAGTGCTACCCGCTCTCCATGCTTCTTCAGGTGAGTTTCACGATATGCCGACTAAAAATGTGTACTAATTTGTCCAGGGTTCGAGGTCCTTCTTCGAGGCTGAGAAGAAGCTCTTGAGCATTGTCAAGGTACTCGACGCCACCTGCAGTGCGGATGTCGACTTCTGCACCACGTACTTGAACGGCGTGGCCAGCAACTTGACTCTGGCCGCCAACTGCGGATCGGACTATGAAGCCGGCAACCCCATCGTCATGCAAGCCTACCTCGGCATGAAGTCGTATGAGATGCTATACAAGGCCACCTGTCTCACCGACCCCGACACCTCCATGTACTGCTTCGCCAACGCCGTCACCAACCTGACCACGCCTTCGAATGTCTACTTCTACTACCTCCCTCTCAACATGACTCTCCCCGGCAGCGCCAACCCTACTTGCGGCTCGTGTCTCAGACGGACCATGGAAATCTACCAGACGTACACGTCCAATCGGAAGCTCCCTATTTCGTATACGTACGAGGATGCCGCCAGCCAAGTCAACACCATCTGTGGCCCCGAATACGTCAATATCACGCTGCTAGCGGCCGTCAGCAAAGCGGGCTTGTCAATACCGTCATGGGCCCTGTCGACAGCAGCAATCGTGCTGGCGATGGCGTTCAACTTCTGGTAGACAGCATCACGCCAGCAGTACAGCAACACCAGGTTGTTCAACGATCTGCACGGATGGTTATGAGTCATGTTTAGAGATTTGATTTTCCAGCAAGCGCCTTGATACCCCTCAAACATTCTTTCGCATTTACTTCTTTTCATAATTCGCCGCCCCCACGGGCCTCTCGAGTTATCACTCGGTCTTTATCTACATCTTTTATATTAGTCTCTAGTGTGTCACATCATGGCTGGGCTGGAAAGAAAAATAGCCAAGAGCTGGCAATGGTTGGCGGTTTGTCGATTTGACTGGGCATTTACACGACAGCCGGGAAGGCTGATCATGATCATATGGGAATATTCGCTGAGGACAGCGATGAAGAGTAGGAAGGCACACGGCGCCACATACTGGCACATTGTCGGCATCCAATGAGGTGCGGCACAAATAGTAATCTTCGCATGTGCGAGTCTTCATCCTATTCTTGTAGATACTCTTAAAGACGGTGGTTTATCTTGGGGAGTAAGAGGAAGAAGACAACGACCTATCATGGTCATCTCAACACAATCAATAAGTAGCAAACACTTTGAGCCTTCTTTGCGCGACAAGGTGATGAAAGATGATTGGGTGTGAGATTAGTCCTCGGACCCGATAGCTTGTTTGCCTCTCATGCAGGTTTGTCCAAGCCACCAACACCAACGAAACCGCTGGGCTGGGCTGGCTGCAGATTTTGTGGGTTCAAACTAAACTTTGTGCAACGACGATCCGATGTGAGAGCGCTGATCCTTTCTTGGACGTGCTGATCCTGTCTTATTCGCTTTGTCAGGTGCAAGCATTCGAAGATGTAAGAGCTCCTCGTCTAGTGTTGCACTTCAAATTTTGAAGCCGCTCCGTTGAGGCAGGTACTTCCGCGAAGAAAAGAGCTACACTTTCTTTTTGCCAGCCAAGGGCGGGGTTGAAGATCGGAGAATTGTAATGTATTTTATTTTGTTATTACAACTATGTGTGTTGATTCTCTTAGCATTTTCAGCGTCTCGTGGATTTGTAGTGGTGCATGAGGCTGACAGCTATCTGATGTAAGTGGTCCGCAGAAACATTAACCAGCTGCGACGAGGAGAAGGAACAGATTTGAAGGACACATAGACATGCCTCGACCAAAGAGCTACAATAGAACAAGCATAAGATTTTCTTTGCTGCCACGGAAAAAAATTGGTTTGAACGTGTAAGTCGCGCCTTCCTCACCCATCTGACCACCACCTTCTCCTTCCAGTTCTTCACTGCCAACACTCGTCCACTTACCTCACCGGCAAACAACAACCACCAAGACTCACCTTCAAATTACCACCAGTCGCACAGTATCTCGGCTTTGTTACAACAAAAATTACGATGACCGATCAGGAAGAGAGAAGCGGCAGGAAGCGCGCCAGGGGCGACGAGGACGAGCATCAGATCCAACGCCCGTTACGGTGGGTCCCGGGCAAACTCGTCGACTATACGGGAGCGCCTGTGTCCCAGAAAGACTTTGATGATTGGTTAAGAAGCATACCGGCTTGGATGCAGGGCCTCGTTTTGAAGCACAAAGAGAGACTCGCTTCGATGGACCACGAACTGGGAGGCAGACGTCAGGGCCATGTGGATGGCGAGGAGGGTGAGAACTGGGACGAAGAGGAGGGGGAGGAGGAGGAAGAAGAAGAAGAGAATGCGGAGGAGGAGCATGAGCGGCCGGCGCGGAAGAGAAGACGTATCAGGGGGGCGGGCTCACTGTCACCGGATCGTGGGGACCCGGACGAGGCAGTTCCAGAGTGGTTCGACAGCACGGCAGGCTCAGATGTTGACCTGGAGGCGACGAACTCTCAGGCTCGTTTACTGTCGCACGAAGGACGACAAGATGACCCTACGGGAGACGATGGGACCAGTCTAAACCGTGGGGAGGGATCAGAGGACGATGAAGTCATGGAGAAAAGGGTTGTACGACGTCAACAGGGCGAGTTGGTACCGATTTCCAGCAAGAAGACTCGCACCAAGACAACCACGACGACAAGAACCGGGAGCGACGGTACGACTACGACGACCGTCACCAAGAGGACTACGAAAGTATCAAGGAAGAGATTTGAGAGACGATAAATGGGAGCGAGTTTGCCATGGAAATCACCGGCGTCAGTCAGTACCCATACCGCTGGTAGAATGGGCAGATTTCTCATTGTTCAACGATGATAGCCGTCCTCCAAGCTCTCTACAACCGGCAGCATGGAGTAGCTTTGAGGGTTGACCTCGAGTCAGATGAGACTGAAGCTCACATCAAACTTCTCGACAACGAGCTCGAGGTATTCAGTGGAAGGAAAGATGAAATGGAGCAGGGACTGAGGTGGAATAGGTCTTACAGAGCGATTTCAAGCCGTCTGTTAAGCCAGTACAAGATCAATGGTTCAACCCGAGCTTTACCTCTTGTCAAATTAGACAGATTGAGTTTACGTGGATCGCTACAAATCAAGCATAGTGCCTATCGCAAATCTCTCATGGACGTTGTTCTGTTATCGTTGATTTGGAATGTTGATACTTGGGCGGAGCCCTTTGACTAATCCGGGAAGGGGTTATAGGTCATGGAGATGACGACGACAAGCACGATAAGAGTGGAAGTGAGGCAAATAAGGACGATGGCAATGATCAAAGGGGCAATAAGGACCATAGACTCCCTTATAGTTATGCAAAATTCTGGGACCGAAGTCAGTCTCTTGTCAATACCGGATAGACAAAATGGATGGCATTGGTAAAGAACAGCTCAATTCTATCATACCCCCAAAACCCTGTGCCAATCTAAAAGCCATACATATCAAAACATCCCATCTCACAACCTCCCCTGCCGCGCCCCAGCCCGCAGCTCCTTCTGCTCCCTAATCCGCCTCTGCGCCACCTTCCACGGGTGAATCCCATCCGCGTACCCGATAAACGGCGAGCCCACTCCATACCCGAGCATGTCCACCAGCCGCCGCGGCATGCCGTCCAGCTTGTCCCAGTCGACGGCGAGGATCTGGTTCTCGAGCGGGCGGATCCAGGGCTGGCAGTACTGCACGGTCATGCTCCTGCGCTCGCGGTCGGAAACGTTCTGCCCGCCGCCGTGCCAGAGTGTGCCGACGAAGAAGACGGCGCTGCCGCGGGACATGATCACGGGGACGGCGTCCTCGCGTCGGGGGGCGCGGTCGTGATCCTTGTCGCCCCATTTGTGGGAGCCCGGGATCACGACGGTGGCGCCGTTGGTGGGGGTGAAGTCGTCTATTGCGACCATGACGCCCTGTCATAGGTCAGTCACGCAAACTCAAGGCTACTTGAGAGGTATGGGGTTTGTCCCCTTACGGTGCCAAACGGACGATGGGGCCGCGGGACAGTCACGAACCCATCATCGTGGTGGAGCATCTGCGGCGCCTCGCCGGGCTGGATGTACACGCTGTGAAACGAGTTGAGGAGGAAGCCCGGGTCGAGGAAGTGGTCGTTGAGGGCGAGCAGGGCCGGGTGCAGGGGGAACTTCTGGAAGACGGGGGACTTGTTGAGGAGGGCGTAGATGCGTTTGGTGTTGAGGCCCTCGAAGTCGTTGCGGCCGGCGCGGTCGCCGCCTGCGGGCCCGGCGGAGGCGGCGTCGGCTGCGAGGCGGGCGAGTTCGCTGGTGGCTTCCTCGATCTCGGCCTCGGTGAAGGCGTCGGGGATGATTACGTAGCCGTGCTCTTCGACGTGGTCGATGAGGTGTTGGTAGCTGGAGCTGGGGGAGGCTTGGGATGTTGTCATTGTCAATGAAGGTTGAATGTCTTGTGAGATCTTGTGAGCGTGCTAGACGTGTGCTGGCAGAGCTTAGACCGCGCCGTTGAGCTTGGGATCACTTGTGGACTTATACAATGTCTGTCGACGAAGCCGAACGGGATGGATGGGATGGACGGCGTTGCATATGTGGGCCAACCGAGGCTCCGAGGATCCGTCTTTCGAGTCTGCTACTGCTGGAGAAGACCGAGTATCTGTACAGCGATGATGGAGTCCTTCTGGAGAAGACCGGCGACGATGATGTTGAAGACGCGGGAGGGACGGTTGGACTTATTGCAGCACTTATCGATGCTTACAAGGATCTCAAGACTTGCTGGAGCCGAGGTATGATGTGGGCACCTTCTCTCCTTTCTCCAACGAATTGCGTTTTGGAGACTTCCAACTTGCGTGGGAAGCGGGGAGGTTGGAGTCTAAACCTGGGGAAAAAGATGGGATGATGCTGGTGTGCGGGGGAGCTGAGGCGGCTTGATGCGGAGGAGAGAGAGTCACCGAAGACCGTTCATCTGTCTTGACTTGTAGGCTTCCTTTTCCACTGGAGATTGCATGATGATTGCGGTTCCTTGATGACTGATTGGATCGGCGTGTCGCCGAAGGTCCGGATGACGCGGGGACGGGGCCGCCTGGGAGTACGTCCTCCGCGTTATGACAACGGAGCGCTCCGCTCTCCCGCCGATGCGGCCCTGGATGACTCCGGATATTACCAAGAGCGTCCCGACGATGTTGCATTTATCACGGAACGTTCGGAGGACTGGGAGATGGCAAACCTCTCTTCTGGTCCGACATCTCGCATAAGTTGCTACAGCATGTAGAAAGCCTTACGTATCTGGGAAATAGGTCGAACTTGCTTGACCAATCTTCAAGTTTAGTTTGGGTCTTTTGCCAAGTCGAAGATAGATCGTCTCAGACATCATTCTTGGGGAGCGATTCCAAGTAACACTGAGTTGATCAGGGGCGCTGAAGGAGCAAATGCTTACTGCGCACCAACCCTCATAATACTTGGTCAATTCTGTGGCTGGGTGAACATGTTGCTGCACCAAATAACAAAGACTGCTGTTGCTAATTTGTGTCTCGAAAGAAAGATTTCCTGTCGTGTAGGCCAGGCTCTGGCTACCCGTGTAGCTCATTCTTCTGCCTCCGTCTCAAAGGGCTTCTGTCCATAGACAACGTGTCTGCACAGCATCAGCATCATGCTCAGAGCTCGGCTCTTCATCACTTACAAGTCAAACATGGCATGGAACGCGCCCGTCTTCAGCTCTTTTCGCACCTGCGAAAGCTCAACAAACACCTCCTCTTTCGTTCGTCCGAGGACACCGCAGAAGAGCTTCAAGGAGAAGCCCTCCAGACCTTCCAGTGTCTGGGCCAGATTGAGCATGCCAATATCTCGGTAGTGGGGGTCCTTGGGCCAGGGGCCAACCGGGAGCATGAACTTTTGGTGGTGTACATTCCGGAATCCTTGATCCCGCACCCAGCCCTCGACTTTCGGTCCTGGGCAGGCGTCACGGCCAATCATCTTACAGGCCTCGATCAGGGTCCTATTCCACTTGTATGTTGCGTGGTCTTCGGTGAATGTTCCGTCTTGAGTGTGGTACTTCACTGATAATTCTTGAAATTCGGCCCAACCACCTGGTTCCAAGTTGCTGGACATTGATGTGTAAGTGGTGGGATTGTGATGCGCGTCCTCTGGAAATAGTCCTGGAAGCTGGCAGTTGAAGGGAGATAACTTACTCGTAGATATTGCGGACAAGCTTCGGCCAGTCCAAGATTGAGGCGACCATGTGTCTGCACATGATGTAGTCATACTTGCGACTCACAATCCAAGGACTCTCGACATCGTCGACTTCGAACTTCACATTCGGAGGAACCCTGTTTCATCCATTGGCCACCAGTTCCTATGAAAGATAAAGGCAACGGAGCAGAACCTACCATTTCGGCTGGATAGGACTCAAATCAATGCCAATAATCTCTGCATTTTCAAAGACATCGCCCATCTCAATTGCCCCTGCACAATGAAGTTAGCATGCAAATATCTGAACCTGGGTTGCTCTCGGTGTGTACAAATCCCAGTTCCTGTTCCGATGTCAAGAATTCTGTGAACCTTCTCCTTCTCGAGAGGTGCTAGGAAGAGCTTGTTGCCGATTGATCTTACTTTCACCGCATGAGACATGTCGAGGCGGTCCATTTCAGCCTATGCAATGGTCAGTACTGCAGGTTACGCGTGATGAGAGTTCTGAATAAGAGACCAACCTCGTCGTTCGGAAATGCGTAGACTGATGATATTAGTGGACGGAGAGTTTGTCACTATGTTGACGCAGGGGATCACTCACCTCCAGGCCGGAAAGCGTGGTAGCGGCGTCCATATTCGATGGGGTAATCGACGACACTTGAGGCCAGCGAAGCAGTGTAGTTGGAGCTAAGTAAACCATTAAGATTGATCCAGTAAACAATAGGGAGAAGTCGTACATGCGCTCATCCATCTCCGCAGGATCGTTGGGCTGGCTTCCAGGTCAGCATAGTTCGCGCCGAGAGTTTCGAGCGTAACAATCTAACCGTGTTCCCAGCGTCCGCCTCGAGAGCAACATCATCAGTTTCAGATGCATTGGAAGCACCTTCGGCGGCGTGAGGGGAAGATGCTTGAGGCGATGTAGCCGGGCCGGAAGTGGATTGCTCAGCGACACGACCAGGGGGAGAAGCCGGGTCCGCCGCACCTGGAGTGGACTCGACCGCTCGTGGTGGGCTAGGATTCTTTTTCGAAGAGCCATCCATGATTTGCAACGACGAATATTGCGGCATGAGAATCGATCGAGAGTTGTGCCAATGTGGTGGTTGCAGGAGAGAACAATTTTACCATGGGATGACGAGGGGAAACATCGTCAGGGGTGGTTGGATGAAGGCGGGGTTTTATATTGATTCCCTCCTTCCTAGTCCGAGAAAGTCTGTGTGATAACACGCCACTCATGCACGCAGGAATGGAGGTGCAGGACAAAACATGTTCATCATCTGGGTTCTTTGTTGGTAGGTGACTGATAGATCAATCTCATTCGTCCGCTTCGGCTGCAGCGAGCTGTTGGTTCATGTGCGCAAGCTCAGGTTTACGTTACGGCCCATTTAAGGGGTTCCACTGCCATTTCTGGTGTTTCTGACCATACCTGCCTGATAGTAGAAAGAACAGGAGGAAAGTTAAGCTCGAGTTCAGCGATTGGCTTTTCTACCTTCTGCGGATGGTCAACCGAAGGGATAGGATAGCTTTCTGCAAAAATCTACTCCCGATGATGGCGGCTCCACTGCTGGCGGCCGTTGAAGCCGGCTCCGTGTTGGAAGCGAGAAGGAAGCTCATATTCTAGCGAATAGAGATGCCTACAGCACTAAGACAACATCGGCTAGGTCATTAGCAGAAGCGAGAATATTTGAACAATAATGGGTCAATTTGAAATCAAGTGACATCTGGGTAGAAGACACATGCTCCCAAAGCCTGAGATACGACATGGGGCGTCGGATAAGCTCTACTGGCAAAGGTTGAACCAACATATCATACTTCAAAGGTTGAAAACATTCAACATATGAAATCTAAAGTCTAAGATATATCCCTGAAGCACTGGTAAACATAATCCCATGAAACATCTCCTGGAGGCTCGTAAGAAAACGAATCCAACAACCACTGATCCGAAACATCAGTGTTATATAGCTCATCCATCAAAGACCAATCTAAACATCCCTCTTCGTTACCGACACCAGGCCACGATGCTACTTCGTTTTGGGACACCTGCGAAGCGTCGATGAGTGTGAAACCGCCATTGGGTACAATGGAGGGCTCTCGAGAAGCTTGTCTTGGGCGGGGTGCATCCTGCTCTTCGCGCCATTCTCGAATTAGATTCAGGCAGATTTGAACTTCTTCGCTCGCACTCTCGCTACCATCAAGACGCTTCCTGGTCCGCAGGTAGTGCTCAAAACTCTTTAATGTCTCCGGGCTCTCTGTTGGCTGCGAGGACTCGCTGCTCTGAGTATCTGGGATTCATGGTTAGTGTTGTTGGTTAAGAATGAGCACAGTAATATGCGAGTCTAGATGAATGGTATGCATACATGACGGAGAAACCCTTACGGGGTCGCTGTCGAATAAGATTCGATATATGACCACCCACTTCTCGTAATCCGGCATCTTCGCACGTCGTGGGCGAATTCGGTCTTTCTTCGACTTGCCAATCTTGCCGCTAGCTGAGTCGGACAGTGCGGGGCAGCGAGGGTATTTCTCGTGGTCTGCCAACTCAGATTGTGAGTTGAATTCTGCTAGACATCGTTGGCAAGCATGCTCCGGCAAACAGTGCCGACGATATATGTGTTCTCTGTCACTTGATCAGCCAACTGCTATATATCTGTCAGAAACAAACCGCCTACAGCTGGCAGCTGCCTTACTTCAGTCTGGGTATAGTCCAACCAGGTCCCATGCACGAGCGCCACAGCTGGGTACTATACTTTGCCGGGTCATGATGATAAAAGGGACAAGGGAAAAGTGACGAATTCTTCGTGTCTTCAGACCCAAACATATTTGGTGGACAAGTAGGTGAGGTTCGTGATGTGGGTAGATATGTGGTGGTTTTCTCCGGCTTGGTGTCTGCTACAGGCCTCGCTGGCGGTGATGGCGGACTCCGTTTTCGTGACGAAGGCAGAGTTGACTGCCCTAATAGCTCCGAATTGTTGAACGGTAAGCTGCAATAATTGTTGTCAACAATGTTGATCCACGTTTTGACCTCTGGCGAGGCTGAGATGGATTCTGGACTCGTGGAAGCCCATGCCGAAATGATAGAGGGTGCCGAACATTCTGTCGAGGTATCCTGTACACCTTAGATTAGCGGCGACGGCGAATTCGACTGTCTGTCAGAAGGAGTTGTCACCATATAGACGGAGTAATTTCCATCGGCAAGTAGGTTGTGTTGCAGAGCATCATGGACGCCGTACTCGTCCCAATTCTTATCCTCAAGGCAAGATATGTTGACTGTCCCCGAATTTCCTTTCTGCAGCATGGTAGTCCCGGATCGAGCCATGAGCGGAGTCGAAATAGAAGCCACTGCCGAAGCTTCAGTGCATCTGTTTGGCAACGATTGAAAGAGGCGGTGCTGCAGGAAACTCAAGACGGCGACAGCGGAGCAGTGCCCAGATTGAGAAGTAATTTGAAATTATTGGATGATCGTGAACTACAAAGCTGTTATTGAATGGTCAGAAGTAACGGGAATTATTCGACGATCATGAGCTTCAAGACGGGCAAAAACGGAATATGACTTGAAACCCACATTCTGTGCCGTTGATTTGAGATAAAACAAAAGCCGGAAGAGTTCCTCGCTTCTACTTTTGCGGTCAGCATCCACGTCCAGGGCGTTCAAAAGGTTGTCAAGCCTTACAGTCTTGAAGTAAGCCACCCAAATAAGATCCGACAAGAACCCAGTTCAACATCCGGATCTTTTTGGACCGTGAGGCTTCGTGCCGGTCTTCTTGTGTCTTTGTTGGAGGATAGAAGACCAATCTATGCTTATGTTTCTTTGATATGTGAATTTTGCGTGGAGTGAAATCCTGCCGAACCGTGGTCGGACATCGAGTGTGCTTCAAGTGTAAGTCCTATGGCCTACACGGCGATCTCGAGCCAGAGAGCATCCCATAATTTGGCCAGAATGCATCCTCTAATTTAGCCAGAACGATGCATTCTGGCCAAATTATGGGATGCTCTCTGGCTCGAGATCGCCGTGTAGATAGGGCTCACCCTGATGCAAGCCCGACATACGCTGGAATGTCCATCTTGAAAATTGATCATTCCCCTGTCGGTGGCTGTAGGCCTCATGTCTGTTCCAATATAGTCGAATTACGTTCGAGATGTTGGGTTTCTGCAGCGCGCCAACTGCAGCCCTGAAAGCTCCGTCATTGAAGCCGCGGAGCTGCTTCCCAGTGAAGTAGGTATTCTGAGATTCCAATGAGTCAGTATGAGATTTCCTCAGTCAATGATCATCGGGTGAATTCTCTTACCATCGATATGACTTAAGACTGACAGAGCCCGAGAGAGCGGCCGTCCTCCATCTCGGGCTCCATGATATGCTTGCTTTGTCGTTGGGTTGCTAAGGTAGCATGGAACTTGGGTGATTGAAAGGCACGGCGTTATAAAACGGCTTATGAGAAGAGCGAACAACGTTTTTAAACATCTATGCCGATCTGGTCAACTTGGTCCTGGGCAAATACCCCACCACCTTTATCGTCTGCCCAATGATTGATGGCGTTGATGCTCTGCGCAGCTGCGTGTTCTAGCTCTCGCAGCACGCTCATTGGTTCGAGAATCAAGGCAACTCGAGGCAACTCGCAGATGCGGACTGAGTTCCCCATCTGCGTATTGACAGGCTGATCGCGAGCTGATTGATGAGCGGAAAGCCTGCCCCAACGGAGAAAAGCATCTGCAAGGCATCAGGCCGCCTTAGCATGGTGAAATCCTGTGTTAGACGCATTCGAGGTCGTATTTTGGGTGGGCAGTGTGGGTTTATCATATCATTATCACACTTGTAGGATTGACATCCTCGATAGGGTATCGACGATGTCAAGAACCAAACCTCTTGTAAGTGGTCTTCTTTATTCGCTTTCACATCAATACATTATCATTAACCTGCTCTAAACCCACTCCTCCACATCCCTCCTCATCAAAATCTCCCCGCCATCCAACCCCGCCCCGACCTCCGGCACCACCACCAACCCCTCCTCCACCAAATCCATCGCCAGCCTCGCAATCAGCCCATCGCACCCCCTCGCCGCCATAACATCCACCGTCACCGGCAGCACCTCCGTGTGGTTCGTGACCGCGCTCACACTGCCCACCTGGCCCACCGGAAACACGTGGTCCGGCGCGCCGCTGAACACCGACAGCCGGCCGTTGCTGAAACCCAGCGGCGGCGTGCTCGGCGCCTCGAGGTACGCGTTGCGCGGGCTCGCGGTGCCGGCGCTGCCGACGTAGAGCAGGAACCCGGAGGAGCACGAGCCGGCGGAAGGGGTGGGGGCGAGGACCGCCGTGTTGAACCAGTCCATGAAGAGCGTCTTGTTCGCCTTGGCGTCGTCGAGCGCGGAGGCGGGCTGCGTGTCGCCCCAGGCCCAGCGGGCGAGGGGGACGGGGTTGACGAACGGGCGGCGGCCGTCGTGGGCGGCTGCGTTGTGTTAGTGACTATTATCAACTTTTGGAATACAGCCGAAACTCACCAGCATAGTCTGCGTAAAACGGGTCCCTGACAAGGGCAGTCTGCTCCTTGGTGATGAGCGTGGCATACGTCGCGCCCAGCACCTCCGTCAGACTCAAATCCTTCACACTCTCCGGGCCCGTCGAAGCCCACGCCTCCGTCAGGTTGAATTCAGTCACGTTCGTGTCTAGGAACGCCGCCAGGCTCGCCGCGAACTTGTTCAGCATCTGGCCCGCGGGGGTCTCGTCCGAGGGGAAGCCGAGGGTATACACCGTCTTGGGGTACACCACCTCCGCCGCCGCAAAGGACGTGTAGTTCTCCCTGTAAAGCGCCTTCTGCGCCGCGTCCCAGATGCGCGGGTCCCGCGTCAGGAAGCCCGGCGTATCCAGCGTCGGCGAGAGCGGCATCACCTCATCCAGGCTCACGAGGTCGTGCGACGGCCGGTTGCCGAACAAGCCTTGCACGCCCGACGGCCCGCGGATCGAGCCGCCGGTGTCGCTGCCGACGGCGATGTCGAGCCACTCGTAGCTGGCGACGCTCGCGCCGGCGCCCGAGGAGCTCGACGAGGGGTCGTTGTAGCCGTCGCCGCGCGGGTTGAAGGGCGCGTGGTAGTCGACCCAGTCGGCGGTGGCGGTCTCGCCGTTGGCGAACTGGCTGGGCTTCTGGAAGCCGACGACGACGGCGCCGGCGTCGATGAGGTTCTGGATGGCGGTGCCGGTCTTGGCGGCGGGCGGGTACAGGCCGTACCACGCGCGGTTGCCGTTGGAGCCCTTGACGCCGGCGAGGGAGTAGATGTCCTTGACGCCGACGCGGACGCCGGCGAGGGGCTTCTCGGGTGTGGGTGTGAAGTACAGCCGCGAGGGAACGCCGACGGTCAGCGACGCGGAGGCGGGGACCTGCGCGGAGAGGGTCTGGAAGGTGCCCTCGGGCGTTTGGAGAAGGGACTCGGAGAAGGCGCCGGCGAAGTCGGGGTATAGGCGGAAGGCCTGGTGGACCTCCCCGGTGGTGGTGTCGAGGAAGTAGGGGCCGGACGGGATCGAGGCGAGCTTGGATAGCGGGAGGACGGCGGAGGTGGTGTTGCCGCGAGCGTATGTAGACTTGGAGCCGGCCCCGGCGAGGAAGATGGCGTTGAGGAAGGCGGGCTGCCAGACGTCATCCTGGGCTGTCCAGTTGCTGAAGAGGCTCGTCAGGTCGTGTGAGGCCACAGTCTCGGCGACTACGGTGATGGGTGTGAAGCCGAAGGCACGCGGTAGGTTCTTGAGGTCCAGCGAGGCGTTGGAGGGTTTGCCCTGGGAGAACGGGGAGACGAAGTAGTATACATCGTCGAGCTTGAGCGAGGCACCGGTCGTCACGAGGTCGGCGACGGCGGCGCCGGCCAGCGTGAGGAAAGCAAAGGCCTTCATCATTGACTGTCGAGAGGGGTGAGAAGATCACGGCTGGTGAGGTGAGCCGGACGGCCTGGAATGCAACGACGGCAGCATCTTTATAACCTCATTGGAGCACTGCTCCAAAGGAAACCGATTGAGAAATTCGCTTGCAGCCCTGACTGATAAGTGCGCGCTGCTTATTCCTTAGAATCAGGACCTCTGCCATAAGCAATATGCAATCATCTCTCTCTGCATGGGGCGGCCGCCGGGGGTTGGCTTATCGCGGGACTCCTCAGTTGCATCGCTAGCTTTGATGCTTCCCGGTAGTCGAGCGGGGGTCTGCCGACTAAGCAGAGGCCGGACCCGTTTTTCTTTCGGTGAAGAATGTTTCTCTTGGTCATTCAATGGAGGGGGGAACTTTTGGGACGGGGGAGGAGGTGTTATCGCGGCGTCGAGGTTTCCGGCCGATGTCGGGAATGGGCCGGGGGGCGAGCTGTTTACCGGGGGGCCGGCAGATTGGACGAGCGGGAATTTGCCGACAAGTAAATGCCGAAAAGGATGACATCGGGAGACAACTGTGAAGACAACGTCTTTATGGCCAAGAGGCGATATTGCAAGATTTTGAAATAGAAGTTTGGGTGTGAAACAATTCACAGTCCATCGCCGCGGGGTGCAAGATCCAACGGGCGTTCGCCGTCCCAAGCAGACGGTTCCCCCACACGCGGACCGGACCTGTCAACGTGCCTGTCCAACGGCACGGTAAACTTTATGGTACTTCCGTCGTCAAAAAAAGTACCTTGCCTGTTATTGCGTCAGCTTCTGCCTCATGAACCACGCGGACTTATAACAAACACGCCCGATGGAGGCTGACCACCACGTCTCCAAGAACATTTGTCGGATGAATTACAAAGTTGGAGGATACGAGGTCTTTCCCTCTTTACCTCTGGAGATACTCCAAGTGGGGGCCAAGACCCTTCGCCCGGAGGCCCTCACCGATCATTGACAAACCTCTTCTTGCAGATAAGACATGGTGATAACACTGACCTCCGTTACGAAAGACGACGTCAGTGCCAAGGAGTCATCCATTCCCGGATTAGAGGGTTTTCTCAGGGTCCGTTTAGTAGGCACTAGAGTAAACAAAAGCTGGTTAGCAATCACAGTGCTGACCAACCGATGTCGAGGGTGATAAGCCCGACAAGGATGACCCCATCGGAGAACAACTCCAACGCTGGGGTTGCCTGGTTGGCAGCCAGAGCTTAATCTGCAAAGTCGAGTGGCTGGACAACACCGCGCAAAATGTGTAAAATCGTATCATCATTAACCAAACCATCACCACCCGCAGACGACCCATTGAGACGTCAAACCGGTGATGAAGTCCGAAAGCTGGAGGTATCCTAAGGTGGACCAAGCCGGCCCACCGATGCTGTAGAAATCATTGCCATGTTTTGATCCAGTCTCCCTGGAATGTGCCACCCTCGCTCTGCTATGCAACCGAATTCCACGTCCAAACTGAAATGCTCATCTGGCACGTCCCGCGTCTTTCCTTCGATGCCTCATAAATAGCAGTCTGCCTGCCCGTCATCCTCTCAGCCGTTTAGATATTATCGACGACAAGATGTCGACCTTCAAGCTGCAAAAGTCGGCAGCAAGCATTTAACCCCAGCCAAGGGTCTCGAGTGTGCCTCTGGCATCGGACGCAGACATGCCGCTGACGCCCAGCGAGCGCACCTGGGTGCCCTTGCGCAGCCTCTGCACGCCGACGGCGACCTTCCAGGCCTCCTCTTCGTCCAGGACAAACATGTAACGCTTGCCTTCTTGATCTCGAATAGTTGCGCGCAGGACGTGGAGGCTCTTGTGTCTCCACTCCCCAGTCTGCCCGGTCGAAGATGGGATATTAGTATCTTTGAACTTTGTGTCGCACAAGCCAAGACGGCAGCAATTCTTGCAAGCACGCAACATTTCGGTCAGGTAGGCATCAGCTTCGTCTCCCGTGAGCATTTTGGTGGCGCCTCTATCCGCCGTACGCGCTCGCTGATTCGCTATTTTTTGAAACAAGCCAGAGGGATGGTTTGCAGAATTCGACGGGGTAGAAGCAGCAGCAGCGGAATTCAAGCAGTGCGGGGGGCACCATACCTCGACCAGCTTTAATGTCCAGGCCTTGACGTCCCACTCGCGCTGCGGGACGCCGCGGACATCGTCGTCGATGAAGAGGCCTTCGGTCGTTATCCGCAGGATAAGTCCATCTGTCACTGTGCCAAACCCCGACACGAGCTGGCTGGCTGGGGTCTTGGCAAACTGATTCATGAACAGATAGACCGCCCTGATGACAATCTTGTCGGGGTCTTTCGTCGTGTACGGAGCACGCATGCTAGGCGGCGGTGTCGTTCGCGTAGTCGTGGCCGACGGGGCCCATGATGACTCGGAGCCGATGGAAGATGCCGGCTTGTGCTTCGGCTTATCGTATGGTCGGTACGAGTATTGCTCTTCGTCGACGGTTCGCTCTGTTCGTGCTGACGGCCTCGGGGGCTGTCTCGCCGTGTTCGAGGATGCTGTCGAAGGCGCTGGTCGCGATGTGTTCGAGGATGTCGCAGAAGGTGCAGGTCTTGGTGGCACAGAGCTGGCAGATGGAGGGGGTCTTGGGGGAGCAGAAGAAGACGCAGACGGGGGAGGTCTTGGGGGAGCAGACGACGCGGCGGACGGGGGAGGTCTCGATGGCTGTGACGAAGCCACGGATGGGGAGGTGGGGGGAGCGGGAGGTCGGCCGTTGGGCCACATACTTGTCTTCTCACCGACCGACGAGAAGGCGTAAGAGCCACTCTTGCGAGTGTTTCTCGCGGCCTCCTCTGCTGCTTCTTTGGCCTTGCGCTCTGCTTCGGCCTTTCGTTCGGCCTCTGCCCTTCTTTCGGCCTCTGCCTTTCGTTCAGCCTCTGCCTTTCGTTCCGCCTCTTCCCTTGCGATGCGCTCCGCCTCCTCCTTGGCCCGGCGGGCAGCTTCCTCCTCCGCCTTCTTCTTCTCTGCTTCTTCACGATCCTTCTTGGCCTTCTCGGCAGCTTCACGCTCTCGCTTGGCTTTCCGAAAGGCTTCGAGCTGTGCCTCGACGCGGGCCTTGCGGGCAGCAGCTTCGGCCGCCTCTTTCTTGCGCGCCTCCTCACGCTCCTTGTCTGCACGCTCCTTGTTGACCTGGGCTTCGCGTTCCTTGGCCGCCTTCTCGGCACGCTCCTTGGCCTCCTTGGCCTCCTGCTCGGCCTTTTCCTTTTCGCGTTGGAGCTTTTCCCTCTCCTGTCGCTCAATCTCCAGCTTCTGCTTGAGTTCCTCCTTTTCGCGAATGTCTTGCTCGATCCTCTCCCGTCTCTCACGCTCCTCTCTGTCTCGCCGGGCACGTTCACGGGCTTCTCTTTCCCGGAACTCTCTCAGCTTGCGGGCCGTCTCGGCCTTGCGCCTCTCCTCCTCTTCCTTGGCCTTGCGCTCTTCCTCGCGCTTTCTCGTCTCCTCTCTAGCCTTCTCCCATTGGGATTTCTGTGGCGGTTTCTGTGGTGAAGTCTTGGGTTCAGGCTTCGGCTCTGGCTTGGGCTCAGGTTTGGGTTCCGGCTTGGGTTCCGGCTTGGGTTCCGGTTTGGGCTCCGGTTTAGGTTCGGGTTTTGGTTCAGGCCTCGCCTTTGGAGGAGGATCCGGCTTGCGAGGCTCTGGTTCGGGTTCAGGCTCGGGCTCAGGCTCGGGCTCTGGCTGACGGGGTGGCGGAGGAGGAGGCCCTTGTGGTCGTTCTTGCCAGGAAGACCTAGGCCCCCCATTTCCCGACCCATAGCTGGAACCGCTCGAATGACCGGTATTTTGGCTGCCGTGAGGGGGAGTGCCATGAGGTGGAGGGGGAGGAGGAGCACCGGTTCCGGGGAAGCCGTTGGCGAAGTTGCCGCTGCCCGCGTAAGAACCATATCCTCCCGGGCCTGTACGCCAACCGCCGTTGGGGCCGTTGCCGTTTGAGGCAGACGGCTGGGCTTGCGACTTGCCCCATGCCCATGCTCCTACACCGACGGCGATGACGAGGAGCGACATTCCCATGTTTCCCATGCCCTGGTAGGTTCCCCACCATGTGCGAAAGGCTGGGGCCATGCTCTGGAACATGACGACCATGACCAGGGCGCAGGCAAAGCCGGCTGCGAAGCTGGGGCCATTGGGCGCAAGGGACGGAAGGTAGATGAAGCCGCCGCCCTTATCGCGCTGGGGAATGACGAATATGTCGTAATTGCCGGGCCCCAAGCCAGCGCCAGGCGGGGGAGAGCCGGCTGTGGTCTTGGGATTCTCGCCGTGAGGCGGTGGCGGAGGAGGTCCGCTCATGTCGTGGAGACCTCAGCACTTGCGGTTGAGGTCGGTTGGCTGGAGTAGCTGGTCGGATCGAGCTTTACAGCTCGAATGAGACTCAGTCTCGGGGTGAAATGAAGAGCTCTAGTGGTATCTGTGTAGGGCCATTGGCAATCGTAAAGTCGTGAAGCGTCTGCATAGAGGTCATGAGCATTGTGTCCAGCATTAGAGGAGCGGTTGGCATGTGGTGATGGAGGGACCAGAAAAAAAAAAAAAAGTCGGGAGGAACAGGAAGGTCATGGTCTTGCTTGGGAGGTTTCGGACTCACAAGCAGCAAGAAAGCAAAAACAAACGCCAAAAACCCAGAATAGAGGACGGGCAAAGACGGATGTCAAAGCGACGGAGCGGGTATCGCGGATTTGTCGATTGACAGTGTGGTTGCAGCTGCTGGGCTGTCGCTCCGGCCTCGCGCTCTTTTTTTTTCTTCGACTGGCGGTGGTGCTTAGCTGGCTGGATTGCGTCCGATCGCGGGGCAATGAGACAGAATTGTTGTTGTCGTAATCGACCTGCCGGTTAGTAGGGCAGGTCGAGGGACGGATCGGGATGGTATCACGAGAACCGCTCTTGGTGGAGGTCGATTTTGAGCGAGGTGTTGAGGGAAGATGTGACGAGAAGAGGCAAGCGGGAAGGGGGAGGAATTCTTTTGTGTTTACTTTGGGAATTTCTCATGGCAATTGGACAGGTCTGGCCTCACTGAGGAGTGGAGGGGAACCGCAGTTCTTGGGGGGTGTGACTGGGCGCTAGTGACAGGCTGCGCAGTCTCAGTGGCTGTTCTCCCACCGTCAGCCCACTGGACGCTGTTGCTCCAGCGGGCAGGGACCCACCTGGAGCTCACTGACCTCCCTGTCAACCGCATCAGCCGGCTAAGCGAAGGATGGTGACATTTGATAGACATCAGCGCTGTCTTAGGTTACCAAATGGCAGGTGCTGTCACCAGCTGGGCCTTCTTACAGTCTGAGGTTAGCCTCATAGTTTGCTTTGCTTCTGATCTTGTGTTCGTTGCGTCTGCATGCATCGCCTGGGGGTTATCATCCGGCAGCATTCAACAGAACAAGACGCAAGACCGTTGAAGAGTCGCACGGCAGAAGACAGCCATCATGCATTGGGTCCCAGCCACGGCCTCTGCCTCTTTCGCTCAGAGGATGTTCCCTGCGCCGGCAAGACCCTGAAAAAAGCCAAACAGGCGGATGACCGAGCTCCAACCTCCGCCCCCGACTCATGCTACTGCCCACGATGCCTTCAGTTCGCATCGTGTTACTCCCCTCATCCCAGCAACTGTTCATCCCACCTTCCACGATCGAGTGGTTTGGCCGTCATCGCGATGGCCACTGGTTCCTGGCTGCTTACGACTGCAGATGCCTACAGCTGCTGCCATGCAAATACGAACATACACACCGCCCATCGTCCAACTGGAAGAGGCCACAAAGCATATCGAAACCCTCGACCACTCACCACCAACAGATCGCCAAAACAAACTCCCCCCGTTGCCATGTCCACCGCCCATCGTCAAGCAAACACCGCAGCCAAAGAACCCCTCTCCCCGCTCTCGCTTTCGAGCAGACTTCTGCAGACTTCTGGCCGGCGGCCCAATCCCAAGAAATTGCTCAATCTCCTGCCTATGAGAGGCCCTTGGCACACTCGCCTGTGGTCCTGAAGCGGTGCCTCGCTGGGGTTGAGATCCACCCCCGGCAGCGAATCGCGGAGTCTGAGGCTATCCTCCCCGGGAGGCGTCGGCGCCAGCATTGTTCAGCAATGCCTCATGAGGAAAAGGCCATATGCCAGCTGGCGAGGAACGCTTCACCCACGGCCTCCGCCAGTGCCCCGTTGCGAAGGGAGAGGCCCTCTTCCTTCCGTCCCTACCAGATGTCTGGGACGTCCCTTCGAGACGAACCTCGAATCCTGCGGGTGATCGGTTAAGATTGCGATTGCGAATGCAACAGCGACGGTCACAATGGGGGCCACAATCGCTACCGTCGGACTCGTTGGGCGCCAACTGTGACTTTGTCTCAACTCTTCTTTCACACTCTCGACCGCCAACCGTTGCGGTGCGCAAGCCGGACAGTGGAGCTTTGTCCCTCGCTCTTCCCACCCAAACGGTCTCGTTGCCCGGCAACCGCGGGAAGTCCCTTGCACCACGAGCTCGAGTGACGTATCAGATGTCACCATGTGGGCGCTGCTCACGCCCACGCTTAAACGTTTCTGGAACGACTGGAGCCTGCCGGCCGGCAACGCTTTCGACGTTCCGGGTCGAGGGCAAAACCGGTGTTTTGCGGTGACGACGGCGGAGAAGACGTCAGTAATTCCGGGGTGGTCAACAAACTGCCAGGGCCTCGGACATGATCACCACTGCCAACATCCAAGGCATCGTTACGATCAAACGTAGCGTCGAGGCTAGGGCGGCGCTTCAACCTTCTTCTTCTCCCCACGAGAAATGAATTTTGAAAGAAAAGAGAGCGATGTGACAAGCGCTACATGCATGCAACCCCATGGGCAGGGGTCAACCTAATAAGCACCGTCTGCATGTGCATGAGGAACGGTCCGCGGCCACACTCCGTCGCGTCCAGTGTCAACAACTCCCGTCATGCGGCTCTCCTTGCATCCCGCAGTCGTGGGATGACTTGACACATTAGCTCCGGGTCGATGCCGAGCACCAGGCTGGTGATGACAGCGAGAGGTGGAAGGATGCTGCAGTCTTAGGCATCTCACAAACTCGTGTTATTGAGTGCGACCGCAGTATTGGGAGCGAGGGTCATGATTGAATCTCTAGAGCATGGCAACCTCGAACATTGCTTAGGATGAGTTCTCATGGTGTTTACCAGAAACTCGGTGGCAAACAAAAATGCGTTGCAGACGATTCCGGCGCGAAACCAGACAAGATCAAGAGCAGGTATTGATAAAACGTCGCCGAATTATTCACTCACGGTTGAACCCCAAGTCACATTGTCGAGATCGGCTCCGTGGCGTGCGATCAAGCCATCTGCCACAGTTCTAGGTCGAGTACCAGGATGTAATAATCTATAAATGCAGTGAACGAACTCAGCTGGTTGGATTTACCGCAATGATGCGGATTGCTGCAAAGTTTTGGTATGTAAAGCTCTGCTTGGCTGGTCTATCCGCTTGACACGCCTCTCATGGATGTTCAGTTGTCGCTGTCTATCACCCAGCTGTGGTCCGCCACTACTATCGTGAGGCTATTCGCATCCAATACTCGTGTTGATTACCATGACGTTGTACACCGCAGGCTCAACCGAAGATCGGTCACACGACGCCCTTCTCTTGCGTATTCCGCAACACGGTTATGGCAATACTCAAACCACTCAGCGCTATCAAGACCAAGTATTGGTGATCGCAAATAAAAAGGCCGCACTCTTCAGAGGTATTTATGCCTCGATCGCACTTCTCAGCCTTGAGACAGTACGTACTTGCCAGCAGGACCATCGCACCAGAAGGATACAAGACCATACGTAAACGCCAAAGCAGCCTTGGTATTCATTCCTATCACACTGTCCAATCTCATTTCCTCCGTCGTGATTATATACGCGCATCCAAACGCATCTCAGAATTTCCCATCTCTCGTTAACCCATCCAGAACGGGCTCGCCATAGCACAATCTGAGTTCCCCCTTTCCCAGCCCGCTTCCGTCATGCCTTTGCGTAAGAAGAAAAAAAAAAAAGACAAAACAGGAGTTGGTGAAGGCGATCATGGGCGACAACCTAAAACCTGTCGCTAATTGTGTTGCAAGTTGAAATGCCGTAGTAAGAACAAAATTTCCCCCGGTCAGTCATGCTTTCCTTGCAACGAAAAGAAGAGAGCCCAACTCCATACACCACGCAAAAGCATCCCAAACCGCGGCCCCGACCCAAAGCAGCCAGACGACGACCTCCATCGCCGCGACGACGACCCGCGCGACGACCCCGACGGCGCGCCGCAGTCAGAACTTGCCGATGCGCCGGTTCGCGACCTTGATCTTGCCGCCGACGCGGTCGGCGTCCTCGTTGACCCGGTCGAGCATCTTGGTCTGCGCCTCCACCTCGTCGTTGATCTGCAGGCCCATCTCCTTCTGCCGCCGCACGATCGCCGCGAGCGTGTTCACCTGCTCGTCCTGCTCGCTCATCATCTGCCGCTGCAGCAGCACGACCCCGTCGTTGTCCAGCTCCCGCGTGCGCTCCGTCTCGGGCAGCGGCGCGCCGAGAACCCGCCCGCCGGTCCGCGCCCCGCTGCTGCTGCCGGCAGCCCCTCCCAGCAGCGCCGCCTTGTCCCCCGACGAGGCCCACCCTTCCCTGGCGGCCCGGCCGTTCTGCGACATGCTGTTGCTCAGCCGCTCCAGGCCCTCCCTGTCGACCCGCGCCGAGGACAGCAGGTCGCGCCGCCTGCGCAGCTCGCCGTCGCCGAGGGCGCCCTTCTCCTGCATCGTGCGCAGCCCCGCGGTGAGGTTCCCGATCAGCGTGCCCGCCTTGACGAGCGCCCTCTTCGCCGCGGCGCCGGCCTCCGCCGCCGCGGTGCTGTTGTTGTTTTCCGCCGCGGCGTCCCTGCGCGACAGGCTCAGCCGTGCCTCGTGGAGGTTGCTCTTCATCTCGCGGTGCAGGTCGAGCCAGGTCGTCGGGTCCGCGGCGCCGGCGCGGCCGCTGGTGATCAGGCCGTGGGCGCTCGCGGCGGAGTTGCTGGTGCTGCCGCCGCCGGTGCTAGGGAGGTTGAGGAAGGAGCGCCAGGCGGAGGTGTCTCGCCAGCGGCGGTCGGGGGACTCGGCGATGGCGCGGAGGTAGGCCTCGAGGCCCTGGCGGCGCTGCTCCGTCAGGTCCGGGGAGGAGACGGTGGACTTGAACCAGGACTTGCCGGGCAGCGGCTTCGGGGGCGGGGCGCCGACCTGTTCCGTGAGGGACTGGTGGAGGGTGGCGAAGTCGGAGTATCGCTTCTGGACGACGAAGGAGCGCAGGGGCAGGCGGAGGGTGATATTGTAGAGGGTGTAGGGCTTCGCTTCGCCAGTCGAGAGGATGGTCGAGGGGATGGAGATCTCGGCCGGGGGAGCCATTGTGACGGCGGTTGTTGTGAACGGATGGGAAGGTTTTTTTCTTTGGTTCTTTCGACGATTGGAGATGATGGGACGTTGATCGGGTTTGGACGAGCTTGGGCTCGGATGAGCTGAGCTGGGCTGGCTTGCGGTGATGGTTCGCTCGCTCGCTTCGTCGGGTGGGAGTGTAAGTGGCTTAGTCGGATGGCGTGGGTGGTTGTTGCTTGCTAGCAGTCGCAATGGCGTCGTCGAAGGGATGATGTGGATAATTCGTAAATGAAACACAATCGTAAACGTTGTCGAGTGCGTCGTCGTGCTGGTAAAAATCAATGTTGTTGAAGGACGGATTTGGTTCGTTGCTTGCGTCAGGTCCCGGGGAGATGCAATCAAGGTTCACGTTCCAGTCCAGTCCGGTGAGCAGCAGCGCAGCGAACGTATGCAATGCTCCAGCGAGGTGTGCTGCGGCCGGGCGCGAGACGCAGGTGGTCGGTTCCTTAAAAAACGACGACGGCCCACTGTTGAGTGGCAGGTTCCTGGGTTCCTGGGCGTGCCTGGGTCTGAAAGATAGCAGCCTGAGGGGGAGGCTGGTGGTCGTGTGCGCTGTTTGACGCCTGTGGCGCATGCATGGAACCACTAAACTGGAGCCTGCCGCAGGAATGACCGCATATCTGGGACACCTCATCAGGAAGGGCCTGGGCTTGGGCTCATGACGAGGGCCAAAGAGAGACACCGAAGCCCGAGTGATTGTCACTGCCTGAAGATCCCGACTGAGATGGATACGACGCTGTGTCTGCTCATCGCGGGCACACCGTCTTCTCTGCCATGACAGCTGCCATTGTCCGTATTTCCACACTAGATCGACTGAACTGAGTGACAGCGCGAGAAGAAGCCTTCCAGAATATTCATCCGAAATGCAGTAGTCATGTTCATGCATAAGCTTCACCTCTCCGACGACTAGTAGATTGAAACTTGGGAGGATCACTCTCAGCCCAGACAGACTACTACTGTGCCGAACCAAAATACCCCATACGAATCGTCTGAGCCGTCTCGGACGCGTGGTCCGGGACCAGACGTGCCTCGCTCTCACTCACACAGCGCCCACATAAATGACTCGGGGTTCCCAGACCAAAAAGTTTTGATTCTATCATGACTGCTCATGCTGGGACAAGAGCGCCGCAAGCTCTGACCAGCCGGCCGACCCTATTCCAGGCTGCCAACGCCGTCCGAGTGCTGCTCAGCCTCATCGCCAGTGTACGATTATTACGTGCCTCAGGGTATTTGTACTACAGCCAAACCCATGTGCTTTTGCTTAAACCCCAATCTGCATGCCCATCCAATAGTCTTGGGTATGCCCGCGCCCTCCTCACACCTTGGTCCATGGCACCACCCTCCTAAAAGGTCTCCTGATCGTCGGCAGCCTCGCCCTCGGCGGGGATCTCGAAGCCCTCCTCTGTCGAGTACAGAATCGTTTGGATCTGCTTGACGAGACCGTCCTCCTGCTTCTCCAGCTCGGGGTCCTCCTCGACGGCTTGCTGCACGAGAAGCTCAATGTCGCGGAGCTTGCTGAAGTAGAAGTCACGCTCACGCTCCAGGCCGACGACAGTCTCCTTGAGGGTGGCATTCTCCTGCTGCAGGGCGGCGCTGCCGGGGCCGGCCGCCTTGGCCACGCGCGGGCCGCCCGAAGGGGTCGTGCCTCCTCGTCTGGCAGCACCGGCAGCAGGAGCGGCGCGGGGGGCGGCACCGCCACCGCCGGACACGGGAGCGCCCTTTCGGCGGGCGACGGCATCGTAGTCGTGGTCGGGGAAGTTCAGGTCCCAGAATCTCTTGGTCCATTGAAGGAACTCGAGGTTGTCCTGCATCTTGCACTTGACTAGGGCTTCGACGGGAATGGGCTTGTCGATCTGATGTCTGGCAAAGGTGTCTGCAGAGAGCAATTGTCAGCGTCGGGTTCGCTGGGGACCAAACGCAAGGCAGGTTCGAGGGCTGGACTCACTTTGCAAAACCTTGAAGTTCTGTATGTATGCATACTCGCTGTTGACGTTGAACTTGACCCTGGACATGGGAATGTCCATGAAGATGCTGTCAAACACCTGGCATAGCGCCGCGCTGCAGTCAAACCGGCGTTAGCAACACCATCACGAAAATCACCAGGTCCCACAAATCGCTGTATGGCGGGGGAGGGGTATCGGGCTGCACTTACCCCGTACCGCATTGCTCGACCTTTGTGATGTTGAGGGACAGCAGCTGGTTCAACCACTGGATGAGTTCTTGTCTGGATAGTCTTTTCTGTTAGCTGGGAGAGCTCGATGTCGAGGCGGCGACGCGCCGAGTCCGTCGTGTGGTGGTGGTGGGCGCCGCGGGATGGAAGGCCGTGGAAAGATACGAACCTGGATTCGCCCATCTTGACCGTATGTGTCTGATCTCTGGGATTTTTCGTGTGTTTGGATGAAGAATGCGCGCGCAAAAAACCGGGAATCGAAAGGACGCTCGAGAAGCAGAGACGCGATGAGGCGTAGAGAAAGGAGACGTGGGTGGTTAGAGCACCGAAGTTGGGCTTAGGACAAGACAGGCAAGTGTCGAAGTGGCAGAAATTAAAACTCGTTGCTTTGTCGCCGGCGGCGTGAAGGCTGCCAAAATTGTTGGCAATAAGTGGTCGCCCAATCAACCGTGGTGGGGGCAATTACTCGGGAGTTGCCCCTACCTTCCACGTCCCCCCTAAACACTGGCAATGACTGGCGGCGGCCTGGCCCTTCTCTGCTGATGACAAACACCGTCACGTGTCCGTACTCCGATCACGTAACGCACTGACCAGCGCGGCGGATGGGACCGAGTCGTCTGACCGCCTAGGTAGTCAAGGTGGGGCCCATTGGCGGCAGAAAAGTTCAAGCTCCACCGTCCGCTCAGAAAAAATTCTGGCGCTGAAGATCGAGCTGGGGGATTGGAAAGCGTGTTAGAGCAGACGATACCCCGCGGGACTGTTCATTCGCTTTTCAACAATTCTCAACCACCCAACATGGCTCCCTCTCAGAAACGCAAGCCGATTGACGACGACTTTGTCCACACAATCTCCGACAATGACGAGGACATTGTCGAGGAAGAAGAGGCTGTTGCGCCGCCCCCGAAGAAGAAGGTGAAGACCGCCAAGAAGTCGAAGAAGTCTAAGAAGGGTGAGGAAGAGGAGGAGGAAGAGCGCGAAGGCATCTGGGGCAAGAATGAAGACGACGACGGTGCCATGGACTCCGACTTCGAGTTTGCCCAAGACGGCGCTGTCGAATTCGGCGACGACGAGTTCGAGGGCTGGGGCTTCGACGGCGCAAAGAAGTCCATGAAGAACCAGGATCCGGTTGGCGTCGATTTGGATGAGATCATTCGCAGGAGGCGCGCGAAGAAGACTGGCAACGAGGAGCCCGAGGCCGCCGTAGAGGAGGAGGCTGGCGACGACGAAGAGGTAGAGAACGACATGGATATCGACCTCGACGACGATGAAGATGGAGTGCTTGCCGACGACGCCTTCGGTATGGGTGTTGACCCTGAGAACGAGGAGTCTGCCGACGAGGAGATCCCCGACGCGGAAGACGCAGAAGACGATGACGCCGCTGCATCAGACAACGACTCCGTTGCGACACCCGTAGACCACCCCGACGACGCTCGCGACGATTCAGACGACGAAGAGGAGGATGCAGAGGAACAAGCCAAGCGCGATGCCTTCTTCGCGCCAGAGGAGCCCGCACAGCCCGGCAAGAAGGATATCGCTTCATCATTCCAGGGCATGTCTCTGTCGCGTCCCCTGCTCAGAGGTCTTGCCGCCGTTGGCTTTTCCAAGCCCACTCCCATTCAGGCCAAGACCGTGCCTATCGCTTTGATGGGCAAGGACGTCGTCGGTGGTGCAGTCACTGGTTCCGGAAAGACGGCCGCCTTCGTTGTGCCCATTCTCGAGCGTCTCCTCTACAGGCCCAAGAAGGTGCCCACCAGCCGTGTCGTCATCCTCACCCCTACCCGTGAATTGGCTATCCAGTGCCACGCCGTCGCTACCAAGCTGGCAGCCTATACGGACATCAAGTTCACACTGGCTGTTGGTGGTCTGAGTCTGAAGCAGCAAGAGGTCGAACTCAGGTTGCGGCCAGATGTCATCATTGCCACCCCCGGTCGTTTCATCGATCACATGAGAAACTCTGCCAGCTTCAACGTCGACACGGTAGAGATTTTGGTGCTTGATGAGGCCGATCGTATGCTCGAAGACGGTTTCGCCGACGAACTGAACGAGATTCTCACCACACTCCCCAAGTCAAGACAGACCATGTTGTTCTCTGCTACCATGACATCGTCTGTCGACCGCCTGGTCCGCGTTGGCATGAACAAGCCTGCCAGAGTCATGGTGGATTCCCAAAAGAAGACAGTCGGCACCCTGGTGCAAGAGTTCATCCGCCTGCGTCACGGCCGTGAGGAGAAGCGCATGGGCTACTTGATTCACATCTGCAAGACGATGCACACCGAGAGGGTCATCATCTTCTTCCGCCAAAAGAAGGAGGCTCACAGGGCAAGAATCATCTTTGGTATGCTGGGAATGTCTTGCGCCGAGCTACACGGTAGCATGAACCAGGCTCAGGTGAGCACCTCTCTTATAACCCGATGAGAATGTCACTAATAACCTTGCAGAGAATTGCCAGTGTAGAGAACTTCCGTGACGGCAAGGTTAACTACCTCTTGGCTACCGATCTTGCGTCTCGTGGTCTCGATATCAAGGGCGTTGACACCGTCATCAACTACGAGGCGCCCCAGAAGCTAGAGATTTACGTGCACAGAGTCGGTCGTACTGCGCGTGCCGGCAGAAGCGGTACCGCCGTCACCCTGGCTGCCGAGCCGGACCGCAAGGTCGTCAAGGCCGCGGTCAAGGCGGGCAAGTCCCAGGGGGCCAAGATCATGAGCCGTGTCATCGAGCCTGCGGAAGCAGACAAGTGGCAGGCCCAGGTCGACGAAATGGAAGATGAGATTGAGGAGATCATCGTCGAGGAGAAGCAAGAGAAGCAGTTCGCGCAGGCCGAGATGCAGGTCAGGAAGGGAGAGAACATCCTCGAGCACGAGGCCGAGATCAAGTCCAGGCCGAAGAGGACATGGTTCGAGACGGAGCAGGACAAGAAGAAGGCCAAGGACGCGGGCCGGGCCGAGCTCAACGGCGAGGGTGGCCCGGGCAAGAAGAAGGTGAAGATGAGCAACAAGGCCAGAAAGCAGCTCGACGCCAAGGCCACGAGGAGCGAGGGCCACGTATGGAAGAAGGGCAAGGCGGAGCGTGCTGGACAAGGCGCCGTGCTGAACCTCAAGAAGAAGAAGGTCCCCAAGAACGGCAGAATGAGGGCGAAGATGGCCCGTGGAAAGAGGTAGGCGTCGGTGGGCATAACGGAGGGAAAAGTTTAGACCAAAATACCATGTTGAAATACCATCTAATTCTTTCTTGGCACGGAGTTTCGTCCATCATGGATCATGGGGAAATGCGCCAGCAAAAGGATCGAAATGCGACTGTTCAGTTACATCGAGCGAGTTGACAGGCCCTCACGTGTCCAGCGCCGGAGCGTCAGTTGATGGACTCTGGTCTGGCCCAGGCACGTTACATTTGCAGCGTCCTTTTTTCAGTGGGCCTCGGCCAGAACCACTGCTGAAGACGATCGCAGCACAGGGCACCTCACGCAGCGCATTGGAAGCTTCAGCGGGAGCTCGGCAAGCTTAAAGGATGACGTAACATCTCGTTTCGCTTGGACGTGGACCTCATTCAGCGGGCAATAAGCTGAGGTGCTCGCTGAGGAGGAGGAGGCGCCGCTGTCTTACGCCGCCTGCATAATATTCCATGCATTTCTGGCACTTGGTCGCATCTGGAAATCGAGACACCCCGACCCGGCACCGGCAGCTTCTGAGACCAGAGACAACCTAAAGCTTCGCCCGCCCGTCGTCACGAGCTCCTAGCTCATCCCTCCCTACCCGCGTGCTCCCGCTACTCTGCCTCAACCCCTCGACCGCCGATTCCGCCTCCCAAACCCGTCGCCCAGATCATGTGCTTCCATCATTCTCTGCCGCTTCTTCATCAGCTGTAGAGCGTGGGGGTCAGAAGACGCTGTCGCCTGCGCAGCCTCGTGCACTTCTGGTCTGCCTCGTTGAGCCTCGGACGAGTAATCGACGCCGCTAAGCCCACGACCTGCCGCCTCCGGAGAACAGACGACGCGGAGGGACCCTTCCTGCATTACGAACAAAACCAGGGCCGTCCCGCACCCCATCGCGCCCGTCTTGGAATCTTGTCCAAGGCACCTACAACGATCAAGCTGGCTCCCTTCAGGCCCTTCAGGCGATTTGGACCCCCGCATCCGCATCCTCATAATCGACTCAGTCTACTACGATACCTCTTCCCGCGAACCGTCCGAGATCGATATCGCGAGCGCGTGCTCAACTTCCGGCTCGACACCCTTCCGCAGCTCAAGCATCGCTTCCAGTCCCGCATATACCGGTTGATTCTTGAGCGCCAGCGCAAGCGGAACGAGCAGTCGCGGCTCGTCGACGTAGTCAGGCGGCAAAGTCGCCGGCTGCTCTTGGGCCCACCCCCAGCGAGGCCGGCGAGGCATGCGAGAGCAGGACGCCCAGGCAAAAAGATGCCCACTTGGTCAGACTACACAGGCAACGGAGGAGGAGGAGCTGCGGCCAACTCGAGCCGCAATGGGGACGGGAACGGCTACGGATATGGCGCGGCGCCAGAGGGCGAGCCGGCACAAGGCGAGCGAGGTTTCCGTCGGAAATGGCTGGCTGCAAAGGCAGGCAGCATGTACCGCGCCGGCGCAGTTGCGATGAATGAAATAAGAGAAGGATATGCGCAGACGCGGGTGCGGTCGCTTGAAGCAGACGACGGCATGCCGAGGACGACGATACCCGGATCATTCCCGGATGTTGCAATCACGGTGCAAGGCGACGACCAGATGGTCATCTTTCCGTCCTACGCGAAACGACACACCAAGCAAGATTGGGGCGACGACAACGAGTACATCTCAAATGAACCACACGGGGCTATTAGAGATTCGGAGTACTGGAGGCAAGAGTGGGAGCGCAACGAAGACGAGAGGGCAATCGTGGATATCGACGTTAGAGGATGGGTTTACTCGCCGCACAAAGGGCCCATGACCAGACGCAATCGGATTCTCATTGGGCTCGCGCGCCAGTTGAGCGGCATCCCCGCACCCAGGCAGGATGCCCCTCCCTCGGATTCGCTAGGGGCGCTTCACCAGTCCCACGAAGAGAGGAGGGAGCAGGAGAAAATTGCGAAAGAGGCGGCAGAGATTGAGAAAAGAGGCCAGGAGGAGAGGCGCGTGGCAAATCGTGGTGGCTTCAGCGAAGCGGCACGAGAGGAGGACGACGATGATGCCGGTAGCATATATCCCGCGAGGTCAAGATCCCGCAGTGGCACCCGGACGCCCATGACAGCCCCGGGGTCGCCCAAGATGCCAGCTAGGCAGTACACGAACGGCAACGAGCTGTCGGAGGCTGAATTATCCGTCGCAAACGCGAACCTCATGGCTAGGATAGCGCCATTCATGACGACACCCCTGATCCAGCTTCCCATCACCATATTCTTCTACAACGATGAGAAGTCGGCTTCGCGGACGGTGCAGACCAATGATGCCGGCCACTTTGTCATACGAGCCGCCTTGGATTTTGTTCCGACACATGTCCGAGTCCTAGCCAACCAAAGCCTGTCGGCAGTTCAAGAAGTCAAGATCATTGAACCAAGGGGCGTTAGTCTGATTAGCGATATCGACGACACCATCAAGAGGTCCAATATCTCAGGCGGCGCGAAGGAGATCTTCCGCAATACGTTCATCCGCGAGCTGAAGGACTTGACGGTCGAGGGCGTCAAGGAGTGGTACAACGAGCTGCACGCGATGGGCGTCAGCATACACTACTGCTCCAACAGCCCATGGCAGTTATTCCCAGTTTTGGCAAGCTACTTTATGATTGCCGGCTTGCCTCCTGGGTCTCTCCATCTCAAACAGTATAGCGGTATGCTCCAGGGCATCTTCGAGCCGGTGGCCGAAAGGAAGAAGAGCACACTTACGAGGCTGATGAAGGATTTCCCTGAGCGGAAGTTCCTGTTGGTGGGCGACAGCGGCGAGGCTGATCTGGAAGTCTACACTGAGCTGGTCGAGGCCCATCCAGGACGAATCATTGCAGTGTTTATCCGTGATGTCACGACTCCTGAACAGAGCGGCTACTTTGATTCATCATTCGAGGGCACCGCTCGCCAGAAGGCTCCAACAATCAGACTTCAGGACAAGAGCGACGAGCCGGCAAACAGGCCTGGTCTGCCACCACGCGGCGAGATCAAGACAGTTGGACCCGTCATGGGCGATCTGATTGACTTCTCGGACGAGCCGGAACAGGCGAATCTGGACGACGCGGCTGCGCTTGCCCAACTCAAGGCAAGGCCAAAACCTACCTCAAGTGCGAGCACGTCGGATCTTGCTATTCGCAAACCTCCACCGCCTCGTCCAGTCAAGCCAGCAGCCCTTCGCAGTGCTCCTTCAGACACGAAGGTGCCTACTCTGGGGTCTAATGGCGGTTCTGCTCCGCCTCCGCCTGCACCGCGGTCGAGAAAGCCGTCCGCTGACCGATCCGCCCCTCATCCGCTGTCGCAAATACACAACGCATCGCAACAGACGGTTGGTAGCACCAGCAGCTTACCCAAAACAGCAAAGATACCAGCGTCGACTACCCCAGAGGACATGAGCAAAGCATTCAAAGTCCCACCACCGCCACCACCTCCGCGCCGCAGAGACACCCCGTCCGGGGCCCGGAGCCTCAGCCCGCGGACGCTCAATCGGCAGAGACTGTCAAATAACGATGACATCGACTTTGAAGCCCTCCCACCGTCTGCCGGCCCTCAGCCGCCCGCGTTCGCTAAGACCAAGTCGAACAGCCTCAAGTCGGGAGCCACATCTCCAACGTTGGGGTCTCCGACGATGGGACCAACATACCCCAACAGGAAGCACGAATTATGGATGCGCCGTCTGCAGCGTGCGCAGGAAGTATTGGAGCAGCATGGAGTCGCCCTGTACACATGGCGGAGAGGCGATGATGTTGTTGCTGAAGCAGTGGGCATGGTAGAGGAAGAACTGAAAAGAGTAGGAAATGGGAAAGGGAACGGAGAGAAGGATGCCCGGGCGGACGGAAAGAGGTTTGAGAGGCAGTTGAAGGCGGAACAGCAACACAGGCAGCAGAGGCCGCCGCAACAGCAGTGGAGGTGATTGATGTCTCGCCACAGCATCCTAGAGGTCCTGGGGTGTTGTGTTAATACCAGCGTCTGGAAAAACGGAATAATTCGGCGCTGATTTCAAGTAGATATTTTTCAATCAAGTCTGAAATCGTTAATCCGGTGTTGCTCCGAGGTGCTCGGGTCATGCCACAAGTCGCTCCGTCTGGTTGTTTCACGCAGAGATGGCAGAAGGCTGCTCGTGTCATTCAGTTTTCCGAGAACTTGGTCAATGCTGGAGATATTGAAATGGTACAAGGAAGTCTCCCCCATCTCTGTCCCGCTTGCGAGGAACGATATTCGGCATCTCAACCGAACTACAGCCTGCATAAGAGCCAACCCCCCACAAGGAGGGCCGTTTGAAGCATATGAAAGCCCGTGTCAGGGCCATACCAGAAGTAGATGAACGGTTGCTTACATGTGCGGCTCTACACAGGGCAGACCCAGCCGCATGACCGACATCAGATGGCACGTTAGCGCCAACATCGATGGCCCATGTTTGACAGGGGAACAGCAGCACACTGGATTGGTGGTCTTTTGCCAACAGGTTACTCTATCCCAGGCTAGATGGATCTGTCAGAAAAAGCTTAGTTGACAACAAAGTTTCGGACGATCTTTGGGAACGCACGTACCTCATTCAACGTGAAGCGCACCGTCGCCCTGGGATAGATATTACACTGGGGACTTTTGATATATCTCTGTGGAAGAGCATGTTTGATGGAGAATTGGGGCAGGATGCTGGAGAGCTCGGGCCCCGGGTTGGCTTGGAGGTCTCTTTTTCGAAGCCAAGATGCGATTGAGTTTTGTCTTATGAGGACGGTGGTATAGGGGTTCGCGAGGGCAGTTGTGAATGGGAGTTTTGGTATATAAACGGAATAGAGTTCTCTCGAGCTTTGGGAATTAGAATTTTAAAATCATCGTCGCTTCTAAGAGCTCAAAAGATTTTAACAACTATTCGTTTCAATACCTTCAACACGGCTGGTTCGTCTCAAACCTGACAGCTGGTCTATTATTCGTCTTATCCCGCATTTGCTTCTCCACGTTGCCCACATAGCTTGCGCGGCCAAGCCTTTCTTCATTTCATCTCAACCTCGCAGCCAAGACACTAGACGCATCTCCCACTCCATCTACGACCCCTCCACAATGTCTCTCCGAAACATCCTTCTCTTGGCCCTGGCCGCAACCGCCCTCGCGTCCCCGGCTTCTAAGAGCGGCAGCCCCAAGGGGAGCAAGAAGGCAAAGCACACGGCGTCCAAGACCGCGCCCCATGTGCCCATCTCAACGGGCCACTCTGGGACTGGGTCTGGATCTGGGGCCGCGAATAATGGGACGACCTCGGGCGGCGGTGGCTTGAAGACTACGTTTCCCACCCCCAAGGGCTCGCAGAACATCGCCGCTGTCAAGACTATTGCGGCAGGCCAGTCGTTCGACGGCGGGATGCAGCTCTGGGACCGGAGCCCGAGCACGTGCAAGGGGCAGACGGAGGGCGGGAACAAGGATGCCGTGTTCATTCTCGAGGAGGGGGCTACGATTAGCAATGTTGTGATTGGGCCTAATAATGGCGAGGGCATCCATTGCCTTGGTAGCTGCACTATCAACAACGTGTAATATCACATCACCCAGAGCCCTAGCCTGGCCTGCGGTATGTCCCCAAACTAACACCTACCAGCTGGTTTCAAGACGTCTGCGAAGACGCAATCACATTCAAGCAGACCTCGGGCACGTCCTTCGTCAACGGCGGCGGCGCGCAGAACGCCGAGGACAAGGTGCTGCAGCACAACGGCGGGGGCACGGTCGCGGTCAAGGACTTCTACTGCAAGGAGTGCAGCAAGATGTACCGCAGCTGCGGCAACTGCAAGGCGCAGACGGCGCGGCACGCGACGTTCGAGAACGTGCGGCTCGACGGCGGGAAGGTGCTGGCCGCGGTCAACGGCAACCTGGGCGACGGGGTGGACATCAAGAACTCATGCGTGCTGGGCGGCGCGGAGGTGTGCGAGATGTTTGAGGGGAACAGCAGTGGCGCGGAGCCGAAGTTGACGGGCAAGGGGCCTGATGGGAAGGTTTGTGTTGCGGAGGGTGTGAAGACTAGCGGGTGCTAGGTTGGGGAACTGGGGATAGGGGAGTTTGGAGTTGAGGTGTGGATAGGGTATTGATTGTACATGCTGTGCGTGGTTTGAGATTGTATATAGGAGATATCTTGTAGATATGGCATGAACATGGCCAGAGGCCGGCTTCAACATTATTCGAACCTGTATTGCTCATCAATTATTATCGAAGATGACGAACTGAATCGATTTGTTTCTGAGATGTGACCTATTCAAGATTACATCAAGTTCAACCCAATTCCTGTCAAGCTACGGACGCACCGCTCCAGACTCGCCAACAACTGCAATCAAGCCACAACAAGTCCGTCGTCGGAAGTTGACCGGGATATCCCCTCCGCCCCATCCCCCGGCCTCCGATCCGGCACCCGGCCCCGTCACGATCCCCGCCCGCGATACCCACCCAGGGCTCGCGCAAATTCTCACACACGCAAATTCGCGACGTCATATTCTGCTTGTCCCCGACCGGCCTCCACAGCACAGCAGCTTCGGCTCAGTTGGTCTATTAGTCTAGTTGGTTAGGACGTCGGATTCTGATGATGACAACCATCGGTTCCCTTCCGTAAGCCCAGGTTCGAATCCTGGATGGACCTTGCCCCTCTCACGAGGACCGCCCCGAGATGCTGCTCGCTGCATTCTTTCCTTCGGTCTATTAGTCTAGTTGGTTAGGACGTCGGATTCTGACTTCTCTCTGAGTTGGAATGTTCCGTAAGCCCAGGTTCGAATCCTGGATGGACCTTATTTTTGATCCCTGTGAGTGGGATCACCTTGCCTTTATGTCCTGAGACTTTCTAGGGATATTTCTGCAAGTCTTAGCTGTGAAAACAAGCGCGTCTGGTTTATATACACGACGAAACCTAAACTTGTCGAGATCGGGAGCCGAGCCTATATTGTTTGCTAGTGGGCATATGTCAGCAACGCATTACATTACGCACGTGGCCGTGAAACGGCGACGTTGAGTTTAGCCCGCGAGACGAACTACGCTCAACAGGGGAAGCTGGTTTAGACTCGTATTCAAGTCCCAGGTCGCATCTTTCCTCGGCTCCAACGGCGATTCCAGCCAAGGCCAATCCACACAAGTGGCGTTACCAAACAACCGGCCATACCGTGTTCTACCCACGGTCGTGGAATACGGGGGATGGAAGGATCGAACCGAGGGCCCATGAGGTAAAAAAACATGCTTCCAGAGATCCCATCCCCTGCCATGAGGCGAGGATTCCCCCAAACAGCGGGCTCAGCCGGTTCTTGCAGGGTGCTTAAACCGGGGGGCCAGGGTTCGGGCGCGGTTCGCCGAGCGCCAAGTTGTGGGGGCATGGACGGGGTTCATCTCGTATCGCAAGATGATCACCACAACCTAAATTGTCACTCTAAGAATAGGGACCGTGTGGGTTTCTGTCAAGTGCAGTTGATACTGAATAAAAACATGGAAGAGGCACTTGCGATGTGGTCGGGAATCAGCAGCATTGTTGCTCCGCCTTTGTCAACATCATCCTTCTCGCTCGCCTTTGGGCGGCTTTCGATTGTTGAACATGTACAAGCCCTCGTTCATTGGTCTCTTGACCTCTTGTCTCTCGTTATGCTCCGTCACATTGGCATTTCCGACTGAGCGTCGGGTCGCCAATGACAGCTCCGCCGATGTCCAGACATACTTCAACCTCAATGGCGCGGCCCATGGCGAGAGATCCAAGTCTTTAACCGCAGACGGTTACCGGATGATCTCCCTGAGCGCATACGGCACCGCACCGAACGCAAACTACGCCGCCGTCTGGGTCAAACGAGATGGAAACCCTTTTGAAGTGATTTACGACGCAGACGAATCAACCTACAACTCGTGGTTCGACTCGTGGAAGGCCAAGGGCTACGTCTCAACGCACGTCTCCGCCACAGGACCGGCCGGCAGCGCCGTCTTCGCGGGCGTCATGGAGAAGGCCAACGTCACCAACTGGGCACAGCTGTGCGGCATGAAGAGCCCCTACGCGTACGAAAACGCCACGGACGGCATCCCGATGTTGGTGAAAGACTTCCGGATGTACGGCAACCCCGGAGACCGCAGGTACTGCATCCTGGGCCACGAGAATGTCGGCAACCAGCTCTCCACGATCTTCTACACCACGAACTACTCCATCAACTACGCGGACATCTACTCCTCCGAGCTCGCCAAACGCTTCTGGCGCCCCTCCCGTCTCTTCTTGTCCGACGACCATGTCATCACGCCCCAGTTCGTCGATACTTCGGTCGGCAAGTGGGTAGCTTTGGATGGCCTCACCGGCGCTGAGCTCGCCGCCGAGATCGAGTCGCAGAAGGCGCAGGGCTTGTACCCAATCGACCTCCACGGCGGCGTCTCGGGAGCAGACGTCCGCTTCTCAGTCATCTTTGCCGAGCAGGACATCCCCGAGACCCGAAAGTGGTCCGCCACCGGATCGTTCACTGGGTTCAAGGACAATGACGCCGCGAAGGCGGCCTTTGACTCGACCATGCAGACCTGGATGACGAAGAACGGCGTCCGGCAAGCCCAAATTGCCATTGCGCTGAACGGCACCGCCATCGCCGAGCGCAGCTACACCTGGGCCGAGAGCAACCGCGCCGTTGTGCAGCCCGATGACATCTTCCTGCTCGCCAGCGTCAGCAAGATCTTCGTCCACGCCGCCGTCTACAACCTCATCGAAGCCGGGAAGCTGAACTACTCCACCCCTGTTTACCCCTTACTCGGATACAAGCCTGTTGACGAGCGGGCGAACGAGATCACCATCGACCACCTCCTCACGCACACCTCCGGCTATAACCGCGACAAGTCCGGCGACCCGGGCTTCATGTTCCGCGACATCGCCTTTGCGCTCTTCAACGGCACCCGCGCTGCGACGCTGCGCGATGTGATTGAGTACCAGCTCACGCGCACGCTCGACTTCGCGCCGGGAACGGACTACTCCTACTCCAACTACGGCACGATGCTGGCGAGCTACGTCGTGAGCAACGTCACCGGCGTCCCGTATCTCGACTTCCTCAAGCAGAACATTCTCGGCGACCTCGACGTCAGGCTGTACGAAACGGACGGGGAGAAGCACGTCAACGACCGTATCGTCCAGGAGAGCAAGTACACGGGCTACGACCCCGTGGATCCCGACGCGTACAGGCTTGTCCCGGGACCGTATGGAGGCGACGGCGCCATTAAGGAGGAGTGCATGGGCGGGTTCTCTTTGGCGGCCAGCGCAAGCACTGTTGCGAGGTTTATTGGCTCCCATGCTGTTGCGGGAACTGGCGGCCGGGCGGTCTATTCTGAGCGCGATGGTACTGTCGTTGGCGCGAGATCGTTTGCGTCAAGTCGGCTTGATGTTGACTGGGCTTTGACGTTGAACACGAGGGAGTACATCTCCGAGGCCGAGTTTGATGATTTGAGATACTGGAAGATACCCTTTACATTTGAGGATGTGCAGCTAGCGTAGATATCAGGTAGCAACAGTGTCAAATTGGAAGCTGAATGAACAAAGGCATTGATCGGAGTGGATGTGACTTGGTATGTCCGTCTGATGTATACGCTGCTACTCATGATGAGCTTTGCGAGCCGGGTAGTGACCCCTATAACTTCAATCGTAACGTAACCAATACTTCGACATTGATGATAGTAGTGAATGAAACGATAGGGGTAACGATAGTGACAGTAGACGACGGCGATAGAAGACGACAACATATGCGATTAGAGGCGACGACTGAGAAAACCTTAATTACTTTAACGTGCAGAAAATGCAGGATGTACAGATTAAAGGGGTATATATGATTGACACTGCCCGGCTAGCAGAGTTTCCTCATGATATCTTACTAGAGACAGACGTATAAGTTACCAATGATTTCAGTGCATCCTCATATTCCCTTTCGACCACTTCCACATGGTGTGGTGAACGAGGTGCGATGGAGCAGGGAAACGGCAGGGGGCTGGAGTTGAACCCGTCAGAATAGGCGAAGCTAGAACGCTGTTAGTCATGAAAAGCAAGTCGATAGATCTCACTCACATGTCAACATCAACGTCGCGCCCCTTTTCATCTTTTCCTGACCTCACATCGAAGCCCCAGAGGATACGCGCAATGTTGATCGCCACCGAAGCAGAGCCGAGATGCATGCCTGGACAGATCCGGCGACCCCAGCCAAAGGCGCTGTGGCCGAAGGACCCCGGATACTCACGATCCTCGAGAAATCTCTCCGGGATGAACTCGTGTGGCTGCGGGAAGTCCGACTCATTTAGGTGGACTGGAAGGTTATTAGTGCGGATAAAAGTGAGCGTCTCTGAACTGTGCTTACGGCTCCAAAGAGGGGCGATGATTGTGCTGCCCTTCGGGATGAACATGCCCTTGTACATATAGTCGGCTGTGCTGGCGTGTGGTGTACCGCCGAGGACCGCGACCGGTCTCCATCTCAGCGTCTCCGATGCTATGGCGCGGATGTATTGGAGGTTCTCTAGGTCTTCGAATGCGGGAAGGCGGTCCTTCCCGACAACCCTGTCAAGCTCCTCTTGGGCTTGAGGGATAAAGCGTGGCCCGAACTTGACGCATGCGAGGAGAAAGCTGGCCAGAGAGCCAGCGGACTAATATTGTAAGAGCCAATTCGATAGATGAGGTAATGTAGATAACTCACAGTTTCGACGCCGGCTCCAAAAGGTGAGCCAGCCGTGTATGCAATCTCCAGATCCGACATGCCAAGGCTTGCTTGCTCTTCTAAAAGATGTCTGGCGAAGCATTCTGGCGCAACACCTCTGGCCACCTTTTCCCGAACCTCGTCCATGAGCTCGGTATAGAGCTGAATGTCCTTCTGTCTTTGTTTCAAGACCTCGGCTTTCCATGGGGCGAGGAAAGTGGGCAGATACTTGAGTGCTGGATAGCGCTCGACTGCGAACTTGCCGGGGATGCTGTGGGTATCTGTTAGAGGGAGGCCAACTATTGTTGATGAATATCACTCACTTGACGGAAGTCAAACGTCCCATGGACTCGGCGTTCCGCTGCACCACAATATCCGTCGTCACATCCTCAACCCTCCTGCCATAGGTGACGGTCACGATCACGGAAGCAGCATACCTCTCCAGGTGTCTCCTGAAGTTGATTGGATCCACAAGTAACTCATGCATGAGAACCTTCGATTCAAGACTCTGGATCGGCCGGTACGTCTCGCTCTGTCGCTGCATGAAGCCACTGTGAAGCAGCTTTCTCCAGCGCCTCCAGTAGGACGAGTACGGTGCCATCAGCCCCCTCATACCCCCGGAAAGGAGCTCGCCTCCCATGATGAATCGCGGGCGGGAAGAAAAGATGGCGCCCTTCTTCTCGAGGAGGTCCCATGCTGCCTGGGCGGAACCCAAGATGATGGTTGGTGTCGGGCCGAGTTGGAGGTAGACAACGTCGCCATATTGTTGGCTCAGTTCTTGGAACCAGAGCCATGGCTTGCGGATGCCGGTCTTGATGACTTTTGGTCCGGGTGGGAGTTGAGAGCGATGTGAATAAAGCTTCCATTCTTGTTGAAGCTGTGAGGTCGGTTATTGAGTGGTAATCAGGGGGCTATGATTGGACATCAAGACTTACCCTAGGAAATATGAGAGCGATGTATGCAAGGGAAGCCAGAGCCGCTGCCCATCCCAGGATGTGTACGATCATTTTGGCCGCCGGTCGGTCATCCAGGGTAGACGCTTCAATCTTGACGAGCGAATGAGAAGATCCACAAAGTGCTGTCACCGACTTTCTTGAGACTCAGGTCGTCAAGATGTTTCTCTTTGGGCGATGCCGGCAGTGTTGCACTGAAATACCGAGGGCCCGAGGTTCCTGAGCCTTTGTTGCGTCTTCGGCACGTCGCGTAATCTGCCAGCATGAACTGCCGACCTTGGCGAGACGTTGCAGTAAGCCACCCCCACTGATATCGCGGCTTCCAAGATCACTTGACGGGGATTTAAAATCCTTTCCAAGTTGCAATGTGAATAGGCTAGCTTGATATCGCGACGCGACAGGGTCGGAACCCCGCAGTTTGCTTGCTGCGAGGACGGTGGATGGCGCGGGGAAGCGGACCTGTGCGTTGAGTCTGGGGTTGTCCCCCACATAGTCGGCCTGCTGACGCGAAACTTACAAAGGATCTGGTTGATTGGAGACGGGTAAGTATACCCCTGCTTTAAATATCAGTAGTGTCGTGTATCATAGTGAAGGATTAAGAGGTCGAGTTATATGTGTGACTTTTGTCTTCAGTCTTTGAAACTTTGCTTTGGGTGATTCGTTTCACTGAACTAGAGTTACAATCATTCTTTTATAATGACGCCAGATACTTCGCCTTGGCTTAGCAAGCCCTTCCTAACTTCGATATTGCTGGGAATTGGAGGGTTTCTCTACGGCTAGTGAGTTTTGAGCATGGGCATCTTGCCAATTACTACCTAACCAGCAACGATCAGTGATTCCGGTATCATCACGCCAAGCTTAGCGCTCAAGTCCTTCTTGACCTACTTTGGAAATCCCGATGCCCCCTTGAGAGGAGCTATTGTGTCGGTATACCAAGCGGGAGGTAAGGCCACCTCAGGTCTCTTAACTAGTCTCATGAGGCCTAACCGAGTGATTCAGCCTGGCTGGGCAGCGCTTCGGTTGGAATCACTAGTGATCGGCTCGGTCGCCGGCGTGCCATTGCTTTCGGATGTATTTGGGGCGTCATCGGCGGAGCCTTGATGGCTGGCGCCGTGCATGTTGCTATGCGTGAGTTTTTCTGACTTATGAATGTTGAGTTCTCTGAGCTTAACTCATTGTCAGTCATCATGGGACGACTTCTAGTCGGCTATGCTGTTGGCACAATCACTGGTGTGGCTCCTGTCTTTGGAGCTGAGATTGCAAAGGTATCTCCACTCCTGCAAGTTGTGTCAAGACCAAAGTCGCTGATCCAACTACTCCAGACTGAAGAAAGAGCCAGAGTCACAGCCGTCAACCAGATGAGTCAGTAAACCCGCAATTCACAACTGCAATTTCTAACTCTCCATAGTGGTTGCATGGGGCTTTTTCGTCGCCCTCTGGACCGGAGTTGGTGAGGGCAAATGGCTCAACTCCAACCAGTGGAGACTCGGCTTCGCCATTCAAAGCATGCCAGCGTTGATTCTAGGCGTTGGTGTTCTATTCCTCAGCGAGTCGCCGCGATGGCTATGTTTGAAAGGTCGTAATGAAGAGGCCGAAAAGGCATTCCGCAACTACCACTACAACGGCTCCAACGACAACTGGTGCCGTGCCGAGTTCACCGTCATTCAAGTCAACATCGCCGAAGAGCTGCAAACTCAGGGGCGTCTATCGTGGGCCGGCCTATTCAAAACACCTGCATTTCGCAAGCGGCTCTTTGTCGGATCGTTCGTCTGGGCAGCTGCCATGTTATCGGGCATCTCATTCGTTCAGTACTATCAGACAGCTATCTATGCCACCCTTCAGTTCAGCCAGGACCAGCAGCTTCTTGTCAGCGGTTTGTACGGATCTGTCGCCCCGGTGGCCTGCTTCCTCTCTCTCTTCTTTGTCGACCGCATTGGACGAAAGAAGATTCTCATCTTCAGCTCATCGCTGTTGTCTGTTTGCTACATGATTATCACCATCTTGGCAGCAGTGTACCCAGCACGACCTGGATTCCCTACGAATGAAGCTGCTCAGCGCGGGCTTATTGCCTGCATCTTTGCTGTTTCTGCAAACTATTCAGCCCTTTTGGGACCTATGACTTGGATCATTCCGTAAGCTCTAAATTGTGGTTTTCACGGTCTACAGAGACTGACACCTGAACAGCCCCGAAGTCTTCACAACCGAGCTGCGTGCAAAAGCGAATGCCATAGTCCAGGTCATCCACTACTCTATCAGCCTCGTCATCACGCAATGTTCACCAATTGCGCTCGCTGAGGTTGGCTGGAAGTACTACGTAAGTCGCCTCTTCTACACGGAACACGTCTGGTGCTCATTCGTATCAATAGATTCTGTTCATACTGACAAATGCAATCTGCGCTGTCGTGTTCGCCCTCTTTTACCCCGAAACCAGAGGAAAGTCCCTCGAGGAAATTGACGAGATCTTTGGAGATGTCAACATAGTTCGCGAATTGGACGCTGATCTGGCCGAAAAGGCTGGGGCCGAGGAGGTCGAGGTCCGTAGAAGCATGGCAACGTAGCTGGGGAATGAACGGGGATACCCGAGTACCAAACCTTGCCTAAATATAGTAGTACATAAGAACGAAAGCCTACTCGAGTAGACGATTGCATTGCTGTGTTGTATGCGCTTCGGTTTTATAACAACCCCTAGGATGATATGCTACCTCAGCTGTCTTATGGGATAGCTTGAAGTTTCTAGAAATATATCGTAGTTTCATCACTTTTTTTCCCTCCAACATTCATCTCCTTTACACATCAACGAACATTCCCGTATGCCAGTAGTTGGCAACCGGATGTGAAGGAAAATGAAAACGTCTTCTTGTTATGACCACCCGGTGCAGTTACATGCCTGATACGCAAACATATTTGAATTGTAGACACAGTCCATCCAAGCTTTCTCCGACACCCCTAACTTTTGAGAAACTAATTACAACCCCAAACCTGTGGGATTTAGCATCTCATGTCTGCCACGGACAGCCATTTTCTCTTTTACTTCCCCAAGTCTTCGCAGTCACTCTAGTTATTCACGGCCCACGGGTGGTGCAAATACAAGGTACACCCCGCAATTGGTAGAATTCCTTTCGTGGAATGAAAACAGGTGGTTGCGGCTCCCGCTCGCCATATTCAACATGCTCCCAGGACGCCTTCTCCCACGGCGACGCTGGCTCTGCAGCTGCCTCCGAATAAATCTTCTCCGAATTTTCCTTTCGCGGAGCGTAAACTGGTGGCTGCGGCTCGCCGTGCTCGACATGATCGCAAGACGCCTTCCTGAACGATGATGATGGCTTAGCTGCTTCCAAGTCGAGCTTTTTCGAATGAAGCTCCTTCCGCGAAACAGCCATGATCCGGATGAGGGCAAAGATGTAGATTGCTATGGAGGCCAGGCTCAGCAGCATCCAGGCCACCGCTAGGTTCTTGGTATCAGTAGGCCAATCCTGACTCCACAGGATCTTCATGTTGAAGAAGCAAAGGACCTGAATAACAACCCAGACGAAGAAGAACACAAAGGTGGTTGGCCCCGGAATTTGAGCAGCCTGTCGAATTCCGTTACAGAAAGCCACGGAGATGATGAAAATGCTGGATGCCAAGTAACAGATGATAGAGAGGACAAGGGAACGGGTCGTCTGAGATGCGTCGAGGATCCCGCTCATGATGAGACTGCTCACGGCGGCGGCGGCTATAGAGACTGCGATGAGGAGATATCCCGTCTTTGGCAGGAGGGCGATCAGGCTCATCTTAGGAGTTTCGTCCTGTGTACGTAGCGATACGGAACGTGCAATACGACTGCTACGGTTATCGCGCTTGGGCATGCAGGAATGATGACATTCGCGGAAACCAAGTCCGGGTATCTGGGACATCTTGCCGTTATTCAGTCGTTTGGTGATGAGAAAGCCCGTACTGTTCCCTTGGTTTCAGGATGTGAACTGCGTAACTGAGGATTCGGACTCGTTGCGAAAATCTCCCGGAAACTTGAAAATCTAGCTATGAACCACGGCTGTACGATTGATTATATTTTCATTTCAAAACCACGTGAAAGTAGCCACGAGAGCTTTGCATTTACTGCTTTCAAAACAAACTTTCCTCGCGCTATGCAAGGCGCTCCTAGATTGAATATTGCAGTCGCCTCCTACCTGGATGGCACGCCGTGAACATCATGAGAAAAGCCAGTGGCGGAAAGCTTGATCTGATGAACTCGAAGGCGTGATGTGACACTGGGATCAACAGCCCAGAAGATGACCTGCTTCAAGAACAGCCATGCATCAATGACCATCATGGACGACTACTTAATCGCAATATTTCGCTGTTCCGTGTCCTCTGACATTTGGAATTCGCAAACTCTCAGCAACTTCTGTGACAGTATCTTGCACCGATGGTAATTCCGGTCGTGATACGAGACCATGTCGACGGCCGGGTGCAACACTGGCAAAATGACGCTTGTCCACCCGCGCGAGCCGAGGCCCGTCCCCGGATCCCATCCCGCAGTCCGACCGCGGATCGCACGAACCATCTTCAAACAGCTCCGCGTCGCCTCAATCTGCATCACCTGTACAGATCCAAGGGCTACTGCATCACCTGTACAGATCCGCGACTACTGCACCAACTGTACAGATCCAGAGCCCCATCTTCGTCAACATTGCACGTGAGGTGAGGCTCCGTCTTCGTCTGCATCACCTGTACAGGTAATACAGCTTCGGAAATCCACCGTGGTGCGCAGACCACCGCCTAGCTGAGGCGAGGGAGAGTCTCGACCGAATGGTGGTTCAGTTCGAAGGCCCATTCCACCCCACGCTAAACCCCTCACCGACATGGCTCCGCGACAGCTCCGCGTTGACAAGCCAACAGGAGCTCCCAGAGCTTGGTGTACAAGTGTGGTACTTTCATTTGACACGTCCACGACATCGATGGCCCCTCTTCGCGCTCGTTATCTCAACAGCACAAAGAATGCGGCATTCACAGCAAACACGCAGGAATAGCCCCGCAGAAGCAGGCCTCGTTCTCCGACCGAGTCCAGCCAGTGAAGCAACGATGATGCGAGGCCTTGACTAATGTTCCTGTTGCAGCACAAGGACTGGGGGGCTGGCAGTGGACTTGGTGGAGCTTCAGCTAGTCTTGGCCGCAACCTTGGAGTTGACAGTTTTAGCGTGAGTTGTACCACAAAGAGCTTCATCATGTACAGACTGAGATAAGCCGTCGCTGTTGGCATCCAATCTGCTGAGCAAAAACTTGCAATTGCCCAATTTGTGAGCACTCAGATAATCATCCCTAATCAGGCTGGTTCCCGCCAAGTCGCTCCCGCAGCTCTTAGCCGCAGTACCAAGCAGTAAGAGAGCTCCCAGATCGATCATCGATGAGCTGTCGAAGCCGCAGGTGTTGTTGCACTGCAGATGGGCATTACTCAGGTACATGCCCTCTACATGCGGCCCATCCGGGTCTCCAGAAAAAAATCTCAAGATCCACCCACTCAAGGATGTCTGCCCTTGTCCACGTCGGCTTCAACCACCAAATTGCTGAGCGAGGACCCGTATCAATTAGCTCCGCCGGTGTCAAGTCCGTGTGCCTGATCAATGACATCAGCGGGGTTCTGGCATGCCGTCACGGCCGGTTCGAAACCCAAAAGCTACCCCTCCATCATGCCACCGCAATGCCCCTCCAAGGCCCTTGAGCTTTCTATCTAAAGCCATCTTTCGCGCCGATCTGTTTTCTTTTTCTACCTCTCTTTCTCCCTCATCCAAACATACCTTGATACCCATTGAACCTTCTCTTCCACATCGACAAGATCTTCATTTCCAAACCAACACCAAATAAACCGTCACCATGCCTCAAGGAATCCCCACCGCTTCCCGTCTCCTGGACCTCTTCAGCCTCAAGGGCAAGGTCGTCGTCGTCACCGGCGCCTCCGGACCCCGCGGCATGGGCATTGAGGCTGCCCGTGGTTGCGCCGAGATGGGCGCCGACCTGGCCCTCACCTACTCCAGCCGCAAGGAGGGTGCCGAGAAGAACAAGGCCGAACTCGAGAAGGAGTACGGCGTCAAGGTCAACATCTACAAGCTGAACGTCAGCGACTACGAGGATGTCGACAAGACCGTCAAGCAGATCCTCTCTGACTTTGGCAAGATCGATGCCTTCATCGCCAAGTAAGTTCTACACTCAAAACACAGCCTTCCGAGGTAATGACAGTTGCTAACGTATGTCTCTCACAGCGCCGGTGCTACCGCCGACACTGGTGTCATCGACGGCTCCAAGGAGGCCTGGGACCACGTTATCCAGATCGACCTGAACGGCACTGCGTACTGCGCCAAGGCCGTCGGCGCTCACTTCCGCGAGCGCGGCTCGGGATCCTTCGTCATCACCGCCTCCATGTCCGGCCACATCGCCAACTACCCCCAGGAGCAGACCTCGTACAACGTCGCAAAGGCAGGCTGCATCCACATGGCCCGCTCGCTCGCCAACGAGTGGCGCGACTTTGCCCGTGTCAACTCCATCTCCCCCGGCTACATTGACACCGGCCTGTCCGACTTCGTCGCCCAGGAGACCCAGGAGCTGTGGAAGAGCATGATCCCCATGGGCCGCAACGGCGACGCCAAGGAGCTCAAGGGCGCCTACGTCTACCTCGTTTCCGACGCCAGCACCTACACCACCGGTGCTGATATCGTCATTGACGGCGGTTACTGCTGCCGATAGATGCTTGGTCTTTTCTAGCGAAGCGTTGGATTTTAGGAGCAACAGGACATGGATACAGGGTATGAAAGGGCTCTGGATATGATGTTATGACTTGTTGGATAATAGAAAAAAAGTAAAATTGGATTAAATCTCAGCCCGTGAATACTTGTGTGACACTGCAAATGCGACATGCCTATAGAGAAGGTCGCAAATTGTTAGCATGAGGAAGCGAAGCGGTGTGTTGGACGCATCATCCGGGACCTTGATGGGTACATTCAATGTGACTGGCAGTCATGCATCGATGTCTTACTTGGGCATCACAGCATTGGTACAGTGAGGAATTGCAGATGCCTAACCATGATGTATGAATGATGCCATGAATAATTAGCGTGTTCTTGGTCTATCACTAGGTCATCGGTCCATTCCATTTTTACTCCACGATGTCCACACCACGGTTGGAGACGTTCCACCCCCATCCGTTCCACTGTTGAATCCACCTGCGGCTCTTCATCTGGAACTAGCAGATTTTCTGAGCGTCAGACACAGCGCGTGAGGTATTCAGAATAACTCTTGAAGAAATAAGCGTCGATGAGTGGTGATAGCGATCGTGGGCATACTTCTGACCGCACGATAGATGGCGTGGAATTTCCACATCCATTACCCTTCCTTGAGAGTACCGTGAAATCAGCCAGGGCCATCACTGCTCCTTCTTGTCGATGCACGAGCGCTCTTTGCTGGAATCTCGGTCTTTTATATGCTTTGCCAGGGCATGCAGGAGGAATTCCTTGAACCAATAGGGCAGCCTGATGTCGGACTCGTCCTGGGGTCCTATCGAAACGAGGAAGCCCCAGATGATGGCGGTGAAGATTAACCAGCAGTATACAACGACCAGCCGTATGATGATAGCAGTCTTGAGATCTCCATTTAAGGCATGGAAAGCAGAGAAAGGGAAAAGTTGCCCGCCAACGACAGTGAAAACAAAATAGAGTAAGGTAGTGTGTAGACAAAGTCTGATCTTGGTGGTTATGGGTGTGTCTCTGAAATGAATCGCGACTATCGTTGATGCTGTTGCGGCGAGGCACAACTGTCTCAGTGGACGCCAGTCGTCTCTATCATTATGAAACCCATGAAGCCAATAGCAGGTTTGAAGCATCCAGGCGGTGATGCCCCCGAATCGATAGACCATAGCCATTTCGCGTGACATGAGTTGTTTCTTGGAGACTGTGGCGTCATGTTCCACGGACTGCTTTGGTCTCGGCTGCCGAATCGCGGGGAGTTCGTTCGAAATGGTCATGTTGACGTGGGTGGTCATGTGATCTAGGTTGAGTCCGTTGAACTGCGCGGTATGTAGTTCATTTTGGAAGGCTGCATGCGAGAGAAATACCTCATATAACGGAGAAAAGCTCACAAGGTCTCTGCGATCTCGGCAAGGCCGAAAGTCAGATTCTCACCTCCTCTGATCGATGACACACAAATGAGTAGGTATGAACCTAACCTTGCTTCAATTTGATTCTATAGAGTTTCTGTTCGTCGCGTTAGGATTTCAACGTTTCTCATTTCTCGCTCATCAGCAATTTCCACTCTATACCTACCTAGTAGTCAAGGGCTGTGCGAGCCTTGAGGATGTGACAAAGTTCCAACCGCCAGCATTATTGGCACTCCATCTTGTCGTCGGTGGGTTTGATATGCTTTGTGATTCCATAGGGAAGAATCTCCTTCACCCAATATGGCAATGTGAGACCTTTTGAATCTTGAGGACCTATCGCAACAACGGCTCCCCAGACAAGGAGTGTCATCACAACCCAGATGTAGATGGCCGCAATACGTGTCGGAATCAAGAAAGAGGGATCTCGCCAAGTACACGCTGCATGCCAAAGCACAGAAGACGACAGGTAGGAGAAGGCGTGCAGCATCGAGGCTTGTACACAAAGCCTAGCCCGTGTTGTCCAAGGAGCGTGTGTGAATATGCTTGCGACCCCAAAGGCAGCGCAAGAGAAGTAAGCAAGATTGGAGACAGGGTCGATACAAGTGCCGACCCAATGTGTCGCGTATAGCCACCACAAAGCCTGAAGAATCCAGGCAATGATGCCGGCGAATCGAAGGACTGAGATTTGTGCTGGCAGCAGCCCTGGAAGTTCGGTCATCGTGCTTTTATGTCTGTATGTCGGTTTCATCTCAGCGCGAGGAATCCTCCGTGATTCGGTGTCGGTGGTCATCTTAGCTTCGGAAAGTTTTCGAGAGGTTCAGTCTCGAAGAATCGAACAATAAAGACCCGCAGCAGAGGTTCTTCTTCTTATATGCTACTTCGAGCAAGAAAACATTGACCCTTTGGGGTCAGTCTGTGGTACATCCCTGAGTACCGAAAGCTAAATTGCTACTGCCTGTCCAGTAGCACACATGAGACTCGAAACTCTCTGTTTATGTCTAGTCATACAACGGACGGAGGGAAAGGTTGCATTCATCCTACGGGCGGTATGTGAAGCAGATCGCGCGAAGCCTTCCATTGAAAAGGCGTACGTGATCTATTCCTTATTCCTAATGAGTTTGGCGATTCCATGAGGCAGAAAATCCTTCATCCAAAGCGGCACCTTGATGTCTTCCTCGTCTTGGGGTCCCATCGCAACTATCCAGCCCCAGACGACGCAACATGACCACATCCAAACAAGCAACCAGCAAATCCTCGATCCAAGAGCACATGACGTAGGGAACTCATGGATAAAACAACTAGAGAGCCACTCGGTGATTGTCAAAACCACGAAGTGAAACGTACCAGCCCAGAGACTCTGGATGAAGAGATTATCCGTGTCGATGTCGCCAGGTAATTGGGTCCCAAGAATGAAAAACAAGACACTGCATACTCCAGCAGGGATGAAGAGAAAATCCCTTAGGGATCCGCGAAATTGATCGTACATTGCGTGGAGAAGCCAAATCGTCCAAGCTACTATGGCGACTGTCCTGCACACATTGAGCCGAACATAGGGGTACGGTGGCTCTGTCATGGTGCCTTGATCGTGGTATCTCGGCTTGGCTTGGGTGTTGCGTTGCTTGTATCTCGTCATCTTTGCTGCGTAGTTCCGATGATTCTCGTAGTTATATGTAGAGAATATTTTATCAGTCATGATACTGTTGGTGGTGGTGGTGATGGGTAAGACGTGTTTGAGCAAAAATGCCGTATATTGACGCTCGTTGACGAGATAGTTGCAAAGAAGCTTACATGCACCTCCAGGGATTGGTCTTGACCAATTATAATTCAAAGATTATTTTATTTCTTCAGGACGGCAGTGATTGCATGGCGAAGAATTAGGGTAGAAACCATGACTACCAGGTTACTGAATCACCGAAAAGTGCAACACCACAGCGGTTCATCTTTAAATACAAGCCACCGCTGTCGGCACCTTGACAGTCCCAGCTCATGCAATTCTTCGAACCTTATAGTATTCCCAAAATGGATGTCGCCGTGGAAAGAAGCAAGAGGCATGATGCGTCAGAGACCGTCAGGGTTCTCGGGGTTCTGCTCATGATTTACTTCGTCTACCTCATTCTGACCGGTACTATTCCATTCATACAACAACGAACCCGTGTACCGCAACACTAGGGGGCATAGTCTCGCATTTATAAATCAAGAACGAGCAGCTGGCAATTCATCGCGAGTCTACTATCAATACAACTCTCATTGAACAACACAGAAATAGTGCACTTGTGGCTTGCAGAAGTGCTCTACAGCTTCGGACCTGCACCCGTGTTCCAGACTCCTTGCTTTCCGGGCGATAGCACCCCGTTTGGGTCAATGGCATCCTTGAGCAATGTTGTGAACCGTCCGAAGGCGCCTCCATTGAAGTTTTGGTGGGCGGCAGTCACGTCCATGAAGCTGATATGTGCTCTATACTCGAGATACCCAAGCTTCCGCGTATGTTCCATCAGCGCCATTTGAAGGGGATGCAATCGGGGTCTCGCCAAAGGGTGAAATAGGACAAGGTTGATGGCGATGACGTAGCGGTCAAAGACGTGGAAATCGGCCACGAAGTTGAGGTCGTTGTCTTCGGTGATCTTCTTCGCGCCGAGATACCACTCGTACAACTCGCGCCCAGAGGGAGGGATGACGGGAGAGTAAGAGTTATGCCAGAGGCCGTCACCGTCATTATGTCCCTCAAGCATCTTCAAATGTTCAATGCTGGGAACACCGTTCTGAGGGAGGAAGTCCGGGGCTACATCCTCGCCTCGTAGGTACTCGCCTGGTGGAGCAGTGCATGTCTCGGTCGTGATATTTGAGCCTCTGACAAGCTCAAAGCGGCGCTTGATCGCCTCGATGAGACCAGCATGAGCCTCACGGGGCGCGTATATCGCAAATGCGGTGCGCCAGGCAGGGAGTTTGAAGCGTTTGGTGATGTCGGCGACGATATCGGCGGGAATCCGGTGCTTCAGAGACGAATACTGTCCCAGCGCTTCGGTGAGCTCCTTGCTGGTGCCGATCATCCCGGTGATGATGGTCATGGTGTTGAAGAGTTGGGGCGGGTTGGTAATGACGCGCCGTCGCATCAACTCTGTGAGTGCGCCCGTAAGAGGGACGACATCTTCGTCATCGAAGCAATCCACTTCGATGCGGGTGTATGCTTCAGGGGCATGAGAAAGGTGGACGCCCATTTTGGTAACAATGCCTTGTGTGAAGTTAGCAGGAGTTTAGAAGAGTGAAAGAGGAAAGTGCTAACCATAGTTTGACTGAAAGAACAAACCATCCACACCCGGCCCCAGGCCCCTAACACAGTCAGCTGAGGAACCATCGAAGAAAACGTATAGGCAATTACATACCCCGAGTAGAGTGGCCAAGTCTTGTTATTCTCCATAGCCCCCATTCCAGTTCTAAGAAGATCGCCGTTGGGCAAGACAACTTCCAAACCGGACTGCTGTTTGTAGTGCACAGCTTCCTGGGTGTAACCAAAACCTCTCTCCAGAGCATTTCCAATGACAGAGCCCCAACCCAAAGCTGGTACGGACATCCACAAGTTCAAATTTCGCCGTCTGATTTCAGCGTGAAGTTGCATGAAGGTGACGCCCGGCTCCACGATGGCGTACGCATACTCCTCGTTGATTTCGATGATGTTGGTCATTCGATGTAAGTCGAGAATGACTGTGCCCGAAACAACAGGTGCTGAACCGCCGTATCTGGAACACTCAGGTATTAGCAGATAACTTCGTAAGAGACATCAACACCAACCCAAGATTCTTTCCCCGGGAGACTGTCCAGAGGGGTGTTCGAGTGTCATTGGCTGCTTTGACAATTTGCTGAATGTGATCAACGGTGGCAGGTCTCACGGCTGTCGCTGCATGATGAGGCTTGCTTAGCGGAAAGGGGTCGCCGTAGTTGTCGGCGCCGTAAAGGCCTTTCGGTGCTCCCCAAGAAGGGTCTCTCGAGACATTTTCTCGCCCAATAATGCTGGACGCGATGTCCAAAAATTCTAAAAGTCTTGCAGGCGCAGGCTCAATAGTTTGAGAAGACGAAGACATGGTTGCAAATTAGAGACGTAGACTGCGGTGGGTATTCGTGTCATACTCAAGTCCAGGGCGACGTTCTAGGTAATTATGGTCGCAAACAATCTACGCGAAGATGTCGATACTATTGCTCGCCCACATTCCGAAACCGAAACCGAATATGTTCACATAATCCCGTCGAAAACTTTTGATTTTCATTGCTTGAAGTCGTCATGACCAGCCAAGCTCACGGGTTGCAAGTCTTCCGTTTGATACCGTCGGTGAGCCTCAAAACCCCACACCCGGCGCATGGGCGGACTGCCATGTTTCGCCGCTTAGCTCAGCGGGATCGTCAGACCATCTGATGTCAGGCATGCCTACCAGCTAGAATCCCAATGAATGGCCGCTTATTAATAGTCGTCTGAAGTTCCTGGCCATTCTGGACGGCGCCAAGGACGGGTTGTGCTACTTCTCTAGGTAATTCGTTACCCACTAGTCATGGCCGCAGGTCGCCGACCTACACCTTCTCAACTTGAGACGGAACGGCAAGTCTTTGTGCAATTGCCCCCGCGTCCTGGAGATCACGACTAGGAATGAAACGGCATTTGACTACGGCAGTTGCGCACGGCCTTATGCTAGCTGGCTTGGAGGCCGGGTCAGAAAGAACTGAGTCTTGGTTACAAACATGAAGTTCGGATCCGGATGTTTTTTGACGGCCTTGAGACTGCTGATGAGAAATCCGCGGCGTCTCACTGGGCGGTTGTGGTGATGTAGATGGTTGCTGTAAGATGAAGCATAAAAGAAAAGCGCTGTCCAGCTCTGGTGATG